ATGTACATGATATATACAAGAACAGAAGTTTCAATATGTCATGCAAAAACAAGCTTAGCTTAAAAAGATGATGACCAGTATTACCAAAGCAACATACAAATTCAATGCATAATCCCTATCAAAGTATCAATGATGATCTTCACTGAACTAGAGAAAAAAAGTTTTAAAATTCACTTGGAAGAATAAAAGACCCAGAATAGACAAAGCAATTATAAGCCAAAAAAAGCAACTGAGGAGGCATCACAATACCTCACTTCAAATTATACTAAAGAGTTATAGCAACAAAAACTGCATGATACTGGCATAAAAACAGTCACATAGACCAATGGTCCAGAAGACACAGAGGCAAACCCACACAGATTCAGTCATCTGATCCTTGATAAAGGTGTCCAAAACATACATTGGAGAAAAGACAGTCTTTTAAACAAATAGCACTAGGAAAACTAGTTATCCACCTGGAGAAGATTAAAACCAGACCCCTATATCTCATTCTGCACCAAAGTCAACTCAAAGTGGATCAAAGACATAGGGATTACACCAGAAATTATACAACTCCTACAAGAAAACAGGGTGAACACTCCAGCATATAGGCACAGGCAACAACTTTCTCAGTAGGACCCATAAAGCTCAGGAACTGATGCCAAGAGTTAATAAACGGGGTGCCATCAAATTAAAAAGCTTCTGCAGAGCAAAGGAAACACTTAGGAATGTGAAGAAAGAACCTACAGAATGGGAGGAAATCTTTGCTAGCTACTCTTCTGACAGAGAATTAATATTTAGACATACAAAGAAAGCAAAAATCTTAATCTCCCAAATCAAATAACCTAATTAATAAATGGACAAATGAATTAAACAGACACTTCTCAAAGAAGACATACAAAATGGTTGACAAATGTATGAAAAAATGTTCAACATCATTAGCAATTAGGGCAATGCAAATCGAAACAATATTTGAGATTTCGTCTCACATAGTCAGAATGTTGGTCATCAAGAATATAAACAATAATAAATGCTGGAGAGGATGTGGAGAAAAAGAAACACTTTTACACTGTTGGGGTAGGACTGTAAATTAGTATAACCAGTATGGAAATCTGTATGGAGGTTCCTAGGCATGGAATCACCATACAACCCAGCTATACCACTCCTCAGTATTTATCCTAAAGAATTAAAGTTATCATATTACAGTGATACAAGCATACCCAAGTTTAGCCTAGGTGTTTGTCAATGAATGAATGGATAAAGAAAATATGGTGTATATATGTATATATATATATGTATATATATACACAATGGATTTTAATTCATCCATGAAGAAAAATGGAATTAACAATATTTGCAGGAAAATGGACAGAACTGGAGACCATCATGTTAAATGAAATATGTCAAACTCATAAGGTACTGGATTGTATGTTTTCTCTCACATGTGGAAGCGAGAGAGAGAAAAAAAAAAAAGAAAAGAAAGGTGGGGTGGATCTCATGGAAATCAAAGAGAGATTAGTAAAGGAAAGGGACCAAGGGGTGGGAAATGGGGAGGAGGAAAGTTCTGGGGAGTGATATTGGCCAAATGATATAATTATATTGTGTAGATACCAAACAAATCCCATCATTATGTAAAACTATAATAAATCGACTAAAAATGTGGGAAAAAAAGAAAATAGATGACCAGAAAGGGGGAAAAAAAAAAGGTACTTATTTCTTCTTCAAATGATGTTACTGACTGAATGTGTCAGAACATGCTTCACCCTTATCAGCAGTTCTGCTTTCCATGGTTTCAGTGACTCATGGTCAAATGTGGCCTTGGTACAAAAATTTTAAATGGAAATTTCTATAAATAAACAATTCATAAGTTTTAAATTTTCTTTTCTGAGCAGCACGATGAAATCTTGCACCACTGTACTTCATATCACTCAAGACATGAACGATCCTTTTGTCTAGCACACCCACACAGTACACACTACCTGCCCGGTAATCACTTAGTATCTGCCTGGGTTGTTGGACTGACTGTTGTGTATCACCGTGCTTGTGTTCAAGTAACCCTTATTTACTCAATCAATAATGGCTCCAAAGTGCAAGCATCATGACTCACAGGGAAGCACCAGGACATAAGACATGGAAGGACAGATTAACACTGGCACTATGTGACAATGCTGTTATCCCTCAGTATTTATGGGGAATTGGTTCTAGCTTCTCTACTACCAGCAGATGCAAAATCTTCAGATGCTCAAGTCCCTTATATAAAACAGCACATTTGCATATAACCTATGCACACCCTCACACGTTTAGAATCATCTCTAGAGCATTTATAAACTTATATACACAGATAATTGTTATGCTAGATTGTTTATGGAATGACAAAGTCTGTACCTGTTTAGTACAGACACAATCTTTTTTTAAAACTTATTTTTGATCCATGGTTGGTTGAATCCATGAATGCAGAACCCATGTATAAGGTGGGCTCGCTATATATATTATATTGGGATCAGTATTGTGAGTACATAAGAGCTGACAGCTTAAACAGTGATTTTAAGCATCTACCAGGGGTTTTGGGAAGTGTTCCATGTGAATAATGGAATACTATTGTACTTAAATTGATCACAAACTCTAAAAGTAACATAACTAATCAAAATATTAGCTCCTTTTAGTCTCACGCTTACGGCAATGACTAAGCAAATGACTAAGCAAATGACTTTAGGTATTTGCAATCAATCAGGAGCTCAGTTATTTCATGTACAAAAAATTGAATATGAGGGGTCTTATTGGTCTTTTCTTGCTTTATCAATCAGGTGAGTTTTACTTGAGCGTCTAAGATTCCATTTTTGCCTAAACTCTCAGGAGGAAAAGGAGGCCTTAAATGCTGTGCAGAATTCTGATTACAGAACCATGACTTTGATCTCCAGTGACTCTGATTTCCACCTCTGCAAAGACCTCGTTGATAACAGCCTCTGCTACATTGCTTGTCATTCTGATGTTTCTGTGGGTTTCACCAACATTATAAAGTTCACAACAATATTACAAGTTTTAATGCTACTTGCCTGTATGAGCCACAACTTTCAGAACTACCTGAAAGATTTGGCTACCAGCATCAATAATTAAACATCTTTACCAAAGACTGCTTTTCTGAAACACTGAGAGAGGAAGTAAGGGAAGAGAGAAGGAGAAACCAGACTTTCCTAAATGCGTATTGTAGTGGTTTGTTAAACAGTTACCTTATTCTACAAGTGCCCTTTTTGAGAGTACTTTGAAAGTGCTTTTTTCTTTCCTCTCTGCAGCATCTCCCCACCCCCACCCCACAGCCCCTGTGTGAGAAGGGAAGCAATGAAGGAAATGAAAGGGTTCATTTAAGTGCCATATTCACATAAGGCTAATTTGTAAAAAGCTCCCAGCTGAATATACTAACAGCCACCACTGGTCCACAAAACTTCAGTTGAGAAGACTAATTGAGATTCTTCAGAAGAACTCCCTTGTCTTAGCAGTTGCAGAATGTCTCATTAAGCATTCTGTGCTTTCCCCTTTCTTTGGAATACTAAGTTTGACTCTGCTCGGCCTGAGTTTATAGCTTGCAAATCTCTAATAGATTCAAATGCACCATTGTTGTGAAGCTGTTGGTTTTGTTTTGCATCCCTGTTTGCTTGTTTTTTTCTTTGATCTCAAACTCAAGTTGCATTTAAGTTTACTAGAACACTGTTTTTAAAACAAAAGAACTATGCCCCACCTCCAACACTATAAGGGCTAGGCTGAAGTTCCATTGAACACCTTCTCTAGTCAGACACTAGAGAAATATGTTCTATAAATGAAGACTATCAGAGCTGAGAGCTTAAGTTCAGAAACAAAGATGAACTCCACAAAAATCTGACTTTCTAACTATTTTCAATTCTCTATATAGATGTAAGATTGTAACATTAGACTTATTAAATCGTTGAGGACATGATGCCCATTTGACTATTTTCATTTTCTGCTTTACCAAAATGATATGCTACAGACAATTCTGTGTATTCTTTTAAAAAGCCTAAGGATTTAATGAGGGCCTCAGCAACTTAGTGAGATCCTGTCTCAAAATAAAAAAATATGAAGGGCTGGAGATGTAGCTTAGTGGTAAAGAGCCGCTGGGTTCAATCCCCAGTATCACCACCAAAAAACAAGAAAGCCTTAGACGTTTGAAGTAATGGTGGTGTCATAAGAAATGACCTATTTACATATTTAATTAGAAGCCTCTCCCAAAATTGGGAAAAATTTCTTGGTACAGTTATGGGATAGCTTTTCCTTCTTACTACTATCTTAATATCCAATATTATGGGCTTGCAAAGAAGAGTGGGCTCAAGCTAATATAGTACAAAGGTCTTCAGGCATCTGTCATTACTGTTGTTGCTGAGCTGTCACTTGTATGTAAACAATGGTATAAATATACACACATTACATACATATGTAAATGTGGGTGTGGGTGTAAATACTTTAAACACACATATAGCCCATATTCCTCTAACCTTGAAGTTTGGCTGAATTATTCCATCTGTCTTTTTCATACAAGAACAGATTGTTTATAGACCTGCCTCTATCTAAAACATAACATTATTTTTCAGAAACACTGCATAATTAATTTATATTCTCCAGAATAAAAAGTAAAATTTTATTGCTATAAAATTTAAATAACTATTTTTCTCCCAACTGGAAATATAAAAGTGCATTTCAATATGCTTTTTATTTCCAAATACTATTTTTATAACATTCTGAAGAAAGTCCTATTAGTAAATGAAATCCCACTGGTAATTTTATTTTTAGCTTTTAATATATTTTCTACTAAAAAAAAATCAAGCTGTCAAGACAAAATATTACTAGATTTGTTATTACAAATACAACTGAGAATTTTTAATTCACAAAGGATGAAAACATAAGACACTGATCTCATTGTACATATAATATCACAATAAAATGATTAGCTATAGACTATTAAAACATTTAAGACTTCACATACACATACATACTCTGAAACAAGAAACAGGACATTTTAACCTTTGATATGTTCATGACCACCGAAGAGAAAGAATATCACAGATCACAGATTTGTATCTAATTGTTTTCCTGATATACAAACAAGATATAAGCCAGTCCTAAAGCACACTGTGTTGTTAATAACATCTGTAAGCAAATATAAACATTCTGACTTGGGAGTTTTTCCTTCCCACCCCAAACGATCTGCCTTGTTACCCATTTAACAAGATCACAAAAACAAATACAATATTTTATCACATGACTCGGGAGAGGTTTTTAGATAGATCATACAAACAATTTTTTTTTGTTCCTAAGGAAGGCAATCTGTAAATTGTAAATGCAATCCTAGGAAAAAGAATCTTGGTCACAAATCATCCACTTTCAAATAATGGCGACGAAAAATAAAAAGCGTATGTTGGGAAAGGGGATGTGCTGGTATGGTAAGGAATAGAAAGGTATGAAATGAAAAAAATATATTTGCCACAGGAAATATTGGATTCAGTTGATTTTTTAAAAATGAGGTATAGAAGTATGTCAGCAAAAGAAAAAATCCAAAAAATTAAGAACCAAAATGCACACTTCCAATGGAAAAATCTCTAAACCTCTTATAGTTTTCTTTATTAGACATTTCATATACAGCAGTTAATCTAGAAAAATACATTTAAAAAAATTTTCAACAGACCATGCTCCCTGTAACAAAACCTTCCAAACCCTGTTTTATTATACAAATCAATTACATTAGTAATGTAAAAAGAAATTCTCAAATTTAGCAATGTTATTTTCCAACCAAGATACACCTAATTTACACATGAGTTTCCACTATTCAAACTGGAGAGTTAGAATTCTGTAATAAATTTTTATAATGTAGTCTGTACATATTAAATAACCTAAAAGGTTCCTCTTGTAGTGCATTTACCATTTAGCAAGTCTTTTCAGTATTTTTCCAGTACCATTCGCATTACAGTGATCTGCCTGTAAATGTTATTAAAATCTAAAAGTGCACACAGTTATCGTTCCCAAATAATGGTCTACTTATGGAGGAAACCTAATATTCACAGAAAGATTATCTATATCATGATTACAAATGTAGGGTTAGCATGTATTCTGAGACTATACAACACAATTATATACATAAGCTAAAGGACATTAAATCTTTAGCCCATATTTACATCAAATAATGTCTGTTTCCACAGGGTCATACCAAGAATTCAATATGGCACTAGATATAATTAGGATTGTTAGCTACAATTCAGTATGGTGAGGAAGTCCAAAATACCCTGAACTGACTTATGCTAAATGAAACTCCAGTATATCACAGTGTTTTAAGCAATATTAGTGTGCTGCCAAACAAGTAACTAAGATATCCAGTAAGGATGCTGTGCAACACAGGAAAAGACAGCAAGCCTTCATTGAGGGACTATATCTGAGTTAAAATTAATTTTAATATTTAGACTGCCACTGCATGCAGAAACCCTGAAAAAGAAATACACAGGTTTCAAAATGGATATACTTCATTTTGTTTTAAATGCCCAAGAGTGTCTTTAAAATAACTCCCTAGTAAGTATTATTCTACCAAGTGAAGAACTTAAGGTTATGAGAAGAAATTCTACATTATCCAGTTTGAGGGGGAAAAAAAGTAGTTTTTCTTACCAAATTATCCAGTGTATTTGACTGGTTATTTACGTTTTCATTTTTACTAAAATTCAGAGTATTAAATGCAATCAATCAAGATAAAATGAATCCAAAATTACACACAGTTATATCACCTTGCAACAAAGCAGCAAACATGAGGGTCTAACAGGCATCTTCGCTCTGCCACTTCCCTTCTGATCCCTCAAAAAAGTGCAAAATCAAAGAGTCACTGCTTGGTCCAAAAATAAAATACATTGTGTATAAAGATGTGAAATTTGATGGAATCCAGCTTCTATTCCACAGGTTGTCTTCCACAAAATCAACGTCCAAAGATGGAGTTTAATTCTAGAAGAATTAATTCTACAATCTGATTTTGGTAAACAGTATGAACTGCTATATTACCAGTCTCTTTCTCTGGCTTTAACAGAGTGGGACCAAAAACAATTGCTATACTTTGATAGGTCATCCGGTTTTTTTCTCCATTTTCTATAACTCTAAGGGGGAAAAGAAAAGTTGTTAAAATAAAATATGAGGGGAAAATTTCAAACTGTATTACAAACCTAACACTCTGCATTTTAAAAAAGAGAAATAATGCTCACTTTCCTAGGTTGACACACAAACTATTTCACCAAGTAGAATTCARTGTGAATGTCACATGAAGCTTGTTTTTGGATAACACAGCTGAACTGGATTACATACTGTAACAAACTTCAAGTGTTTGTTCAAATACGATATTTTAATTTTTTTTTTTGTTTGCTTTTTGGGTACTAGAGATTTAACCCAGGGGTGCTTTAACCCAGTGAACCATTATCCCAGCCCTTTAAAATTTTTTTTTTTTTTAAATTTCGAAACAGGGTCTCACTAAGTTGGTCAGTGCCTCACTAAATTGCTGAAGCTGTCCTCAGACTTGCAATCTTCCTGCCTCAGCCTCTCGAGTTGCTAGATTGCAGGTGTGTATGTCACTGTGCCTAGAGCTTTAATTTTGAAATAGGACACAGATGTAAATATGTTATAGTTCAGGCAATAATTTATCTCCTAGGTTGATGGGGAAAAACTTTCACGAGGGCACAGATTAAAACTCAGTTTTATGTTATTTAAAAAAAAATCTGAGATAATTTTAGTATTCTAAAGTTCTTTTTATAAGATGATGATGGCTTTCTTTTAGGGTAATAATAATATACCTCACTTAATAATCAATCTCACCTTCATATTTATTAACTTTAAAATACCTACCATGCACAAAGCATTATATAAATGCTTTAAATGCAGTATCTATTTTAATATAGTCTTCACACCAAATCATTTTACCTATGAGGAGTTACACTAAAAGAATTATCTTTTTCCCAGTTACAAAGAAAGTTATGGCATAGGTATAATCCAATTCTGGGTCGGACCCTGTGTGTGACCCTCCTAACTGTGCAGTTCTCTTACCTTTTGAGGTGTCTAAAAAGAATCTGCATTGTATCTTGATTTGGCTTTGGCAACTGTCTGATCAGGTCCTTAACAGCAGCAACACGATGTCTTGGTTCTTGTTCTGAAAAAGAGATAACATCTAGATATTTTGCAGCAAATTCTTATGAAACTGAAAGCAAGAACCTATTTTGGAAGCTCATATTTGGTAATACACAGTGACATCTGGTGGTCACATTTAAAATTTTTTGAGCAAAACAATAATCCATTAAAAACTCGTTTAAAATATTGTACAAACAGAATGTGGTAGTTTAATCTGTGCAAAAGACTTTCAGAATCTAGAAAGAAACAGTTGAAATTATATACTTACTAATTGCATTAACAAAATCATTAAAATGATTAAATGTAAAAAGAGGTTCTGGTAATTCTCGAAAAAACATTTTGAGTGCTCCAGTGATGACATGAATGTCTTCCCATTTACTATCATTCAAGTCCAATTTCTCATCTAAAAAACAGTAGGAAGAAGACATTTAAAAAAAATTACTTTAAACCAATTCTAAACATTATGAGTGATGCTTTGGAATATAATATGGAGTATAATCTTTTACCATGATTGACTGCAAATCTCAGCTTCTGGACCACTGCAAGGTTGCCACTCACTCTGTAGATTCCGTCAACATCCAAACCTACGGAATAATACTAATTACTTATGTTTAAAGTACTTACTTGCTGCCAAGAATAAAGATACATGCCTGTAATTCCAACAATTCAGGAGGCTAAGGCAAGAGGATCACAGTTTGAGGACAGCCTCAGCAACTTAGTGAGGCCCGAAGCAACTTAGCAAGACCCTGTCTCAAAAAATAAAAAGGGCTGGGGATGTAGCTMAATGGTAAAGCACCTCTGGGTTCAATCTTCAAATAAATAAAGAATTTGCCTCTTCTAAAGATGCTTGCGTGTCTTTTTTTTTTTTTTTCCCTTTCCCCTCAGATGGGGTCTCACAATGTTGCACAGGCTGCTCTTGAACCTGTGAACTCAAGTGATCCTCCTGTTTCTGCTTCTGGAGTAGGTGGGACTACAGAATACCACCATGGTTGGCTTAAAAATTCTTATTTATTAGCATCAGCTTAAAATCAAATGGACAAATACTCTCTTCCTCTAAATGACTTTTTATAGACTCTGGCAGAGGGAGAAAGATGGTGATTCATTCTGAATTCTGTTTAATAAGCAGCAATAATTCTACTTTGTTTATCATGTAGAATGTGGCTTAGCTCAAAGAAGCATCTCACTAAGCTTCAAATACTAACAAATTAAGATAAAATTTTGCAAACACCTGGGGATAGTTCAAAAAGTAAAGGAAGCCAAATAAAATTAACTCATTCACTTTTTTGCACATGATTATAATGTAAATGCACATACTACAGACCACTCTTCAAAGTGTATGTCATATTAAATGCTTACAATAAACTTAATACAAGCTAATAATGAAACCAATGATTCTACAGAAATAGGTCATTTTGTATAGTTTATTATTTTCTTTAATTTTTTTTGTTTTAATTAGTTATACATTATACATGACAGTAGAATGCATTTATGTACTTTGATATACATGCATATTGCATACTACAGTCCTTCTGTCCTCTCATCCACCATTTGAAATTGTAAATTGTTTTAGCAAATATTCTGTTTGTACTATAGATAGTTACTGAATTTTCATTTTGGTTTAATACGAGAAAGCAGTAGACGCTCTAGTGGGAGCTATTAGGTTTAAGGCTGTATATTGTGTACACTGGGTGCTGATGGTCTCACCAGTAAAGGCAAAGCGCTGGAAACCTTCAGGGTCATCACAGGACTACAAGGTAGAATTTATTCTGCCTTAGATCCACAGTTTTAGATGGGAAAACACACTAACAATATGAAAAAACAAGAGAATAAAGTGTCCCAAACAAACCAAGATGCTGCAACAACAGAAGCCACTGATAACATAGTAGAAGAAATGTCCAAGGAGGAGTTCAGATTGTATATAGTTAAGTTGATATTATTTTTTTATATATGAACAGAATCATTTGAAATTCACAAAATTAACTTGTAGGTATTCATTAAACAATAATGCTATATAACATGTTTAACAAAGCATATTAGCCAATRTGCTACATTCACTTAGTTTAAAATAAAGGCAAGTATGGATTTCACTAAGTAACTTAGGGTCTTGCTAGGTTGCTAAGGATGACCTGTCAAGGCCACTTCTTTACTGGTAAGCTTTCACTRCAAAAACTAACTATAATTCAGGGGCTTGTTAAGGATGAGCTGCTTTCAAGTACACCAGTTATTTGATTTATTATAAAGTAATGTGGGGTCTCCCTTGTCATGTTGACAAGAACAGTCAATGAGACAAGGACAAGACAACCAGCAAAAGCTACAAATCAAATTATACAAAGTGTTTTAACTGTACAAAATGTTTCTGATCATATACAGATAAAGTTAATGTGATTATACTATCAACATACTGCAGATTCACATAAAACCAGCATAAATACTATAAATGTTAAAACAAATCAGTTTGTCTTATTTTCAGGAAATGACACAATGTCATTTAGTTACTTCATAGTTGATTTAACAGTTTTTAAATGTCATCTTATTATTATAAAACAGAAGAAACAGTAAATATAATCTCCTCAGATCTTTAACACTGCCACATCATTACTTAGTTTCACAATCACAACCTTCTTCATTTTTAGCAAATGGCAACTCCAAAGAGGCTTCAAAGAATGCCATATACTTAATTAATCTCAACATATTAAACATTCAATAGATGCCTGCAGAGGTCCTAATCTGAAACAGGTGCCAGCATGTAAGTGCTTTGTAAACAAAATGCTTTTCTTAACATCTTAGGACCATAAGGAAAACTTTTGGTTACCTCACTCAAAATCATAAACATCCTAGGGATTTTGATGATGAAACAATGAGTTCATTTGCTTTGTGTGGAAAAAAAAAAAAAAAAAGAAACTCATTCTCTTACCGTGTTCTTCAACATGTTCAATGCATAACTTCACAAACTTTGGCACTGTGCCATTCTCTCTCTGACACAGATTAGCAAGATTGGATCCAAACACCTGATCTGAAAGAGATTTATTTTTAAGATAAACTCTTGATAAAATTTAGTCCAGGAGATCGCTAAACCATTCAGAGTGCAATGGAACATACCCAGTGTACCCCAAACATCACTTACCAAGACCTGGGCCTTATTTGATATAGACAGGTACCCTGCCTACTTCCTTAATTTCACTTCAAATAATGCTTCTTCACTAAAATTCCATTAACACCACAACCCATTTTTGCCTGAAAGCCTTTATATTTTCTACTCCTTTTGCAGAGAACCAGTCCCCCTACCTCCGCCACCTCCTCCTACTGCAGCTTCCCTATTTATTTGGTTCCTTCTCTTTACTCTTGATCTCAAGCTAAAATATCACCCCTTTATCTAAGATAAATCAATTTCACTCACTTTCTTTTATTATTATGTTAATTTCACAGTATTCATCACCAAATAATTCAAATAATCCTGTCTACCTCACATTTGAGTGTAAGTTCTCTGAGGGTAAGAACTTGTAGTTCTTAAACACCAATAGGTATTCAAAGCACCCAGTCTCATGCCTTTTTAAAATATTCAAATATTTATTAACTATCAAAACATGCATATGCATATCTAACATGTGATTCCAAAAAATACATTTCAAAAGCTGTTTATCTTTTACCCTAATAGCTTAGAAATTCCACATTAGTGCTAAACATTCGGGAAAACAAACAAAATATCTTTAAGGGATGAATAACAACCATAAAGTGACAATGGTTTATATTTCTCAATGAAAAGGGCCTGATAAACAAATTAACAGCTCTTTCTATTAACTTACTTGTCAGGCTTTGTTTTTTAAAGGTGTTATGAGAATGGAAGACAAACAACAAAGAAGAGAAGTACTTGTTGTTTTTTTTTTCCCCTCCTACTTTGTTAGTGACTATTTACTCAAAATTTCTAATTTCTGGTCTTCACATTTCAAAACTAAAGCTCTTCAATGTTATGACTTCTAAGTAGGGGCCATGCATTGCAACTGCATTGCTCCTAATAAAAGGTTTCTAAAAATTTAATTTCTCATTTGTGTCTGTTCAATGTTTTAAGGTAAACTTTACATGTATGTTTAAAAAATTAACTTTAATTACTCAAATATTTTTTAATTGTTGCACTTGAAAACTATAAATTAAAGAATGAAAACATTTTTCCTGCTTGGAAATTTTAGTTTTTAATTTGAAATGTCTCATTTTCGAATTTTTTTTTTCCATTTTGGTACTTGGGATTGAACCCAGGGGTGCTTAACCACTGAGTCACACCCCCAGCTCCTTTTTTGTATGTTGTATAGAGACAGGATCCCAATGAGTTGCTGAAACGGCTTTGAACTTGTGACCCTCCTGCCTCGGTCTCCAGAGCTGCTGGGATTACAGGTGTGTGACACCATGCATGGCTCACTTCTGATTTTTACCAACATTCATTATTATAAATATTACTTCCCATACCTACCTTTAATATAACCTTTTTCACGAACAGCTTGCAAAGTGGGGCGTCGTGTAAGAAACTTCTTTAAGTTTTTCTTGGTTTTTTTCTGTTCTGAAGAATCTATGCTAGATACTTTCATGGCTTAAGACAAACAGATATTAAACATTTCATAAGATAACAAATTTCTGAAAATATTTCCACAGAGCATTCAAAACATAACTTCACATGTCAAAAACACAGTACAAATTCAATTATTCTATCTTTTACATAGTTTAAGTAAGTGAAGAATCAAATTAACATAGACCCAATTTTAAGAAAAACTTCTCCTTTTTATCACTAAAAACTGATCTCAAGTGTACTTTCTTTAGTATATGTGCTATAACATCTCTGTTATTCTAATTTATACTTGTTAATTCATAAATAATTCTACTGATCTTTTTTGACTCACTAATAGGTTTGGAAGATGAAATATCTACACACACAAATCCATAAAATATAAGACAAACAAAAATTAGGAATCTGGATAATATACTTTAAGCTAACTCTCATCATGATTATTTGTACTCAAAGAACAAGAGTCCCCAGAAAATGTTCTTCATTACCTTTGGTGCTAATGTATCAGGACAACAAAAATTTGAAAATAATTACATTTGGAGAAAGCTCCCTTTGATTTTCATGAGACACCTCCTTCCCTGCCCCCTCCCCCACCTTTCTTTCCCCTTTTCCTCTCTAGCTTCTATATATACTACCCTTCTTGACCTTTTGGGTTTGGTTTATTTCACCCACTTAACATAATATTCTCAAGTTCCATCTATTTTTCTGCAAATGACATGATTTCATTCTTCTTTATAGCTTCTTTACACAAAACACCATTGTGCATATGCATATGTATGTCACATTTTCTTTACCCCTTCATCTGCTGATGGACACCTAGGCTGATTCCATAGTTTGGCTACTGTGAACCGTGCTGCTATAAGCATGGGTATGCACTGTAGTAGGATGACCTTAATTCTTTAGGATAAATGCTGAGGAGAGGTATAGGTGGGGGTTTTATGGTGACTCCATTCCTAGTCCCTTGAGGAATCTCCATACTGATTTCCATAGTGGTCATGCCAATTTACAATCCCACAAACAGTATAACAGTGTTCTCTTTTCTCCACATCCTCTCCAGTATTTATTATTGTTTATATTCTTGATGACTGTCATTCTGACCTGTGTTGAGATGAAATCTCCATGTAGTTTTGATTTTTAATGACATATTTAATAACATACTTCTCAAGGGTCAGCATTAGAAAGTGCTTTTCTTAAAATTCTGGCTCAAGTTTTGTTCTTTCTGTATGATCTGGAGAAATGAGTGTGTGCACCTGTGTACCAGCACAGACATATCCTAGTCCAGAGATGGCTTCCTGTGTCTAATGGGAATGGAATATGGCATATATCCCATGACTTTGAATTTCCTAAAGTAGAAGATTCTATATGGAATTTTAAAGAGTATACATGTATTTTAAACATGAACGCAGTATCTTTATTTTGTTTACTTTTATGTGGTACTGAGGATCGAACCCAGTGCCTCACACATGGGAGACAAGTACTTTCCTGCTGAGCCACACCCCAGCCACCAAGTAACTACATATTTTTAAGTTAGTAAAGTTCAGCTTCTTAGAAGATTCAACAGAAGCGTACTATAATAAAGTATAACAATATCTTAAATTAATATGATACCATTGAGAGACATACGATGGCAATGAATGAATTAACAAGAAGAAAAAGCATACAGTATCGGAGCTGCCACTACTTAATCTTGAAATGTTTTCTAAATACAAGGTTGCACTCAGCGTTATATAGACATTTATTTAAATAGAATAAGTTCACTCAAACCATTAACAAAATAAGAAAAAGAAAAACTTACAACGAAGTTTTTTAAGATCCTTCTGGTCTTTTTCTTTATCCTGCTTTTCTATTCCTGGTGAATCTGGTACCTCCTCTTCAATTCCTTCATCAGTTTCTACCGCCTATTGGTTAGATGTTTTCCAAACACTTATTACCTCTGATATGACTTAAGTGTAATAACAAATTCTCAGAATGACAAGTAATTGACTTTACTAGTGATTTCAGGAAACCAATTAGTACAGTATGAATAACTTAAGATAGATATTTGATAAATCCTTTAAAGTATCTCCCCCACCCCGAAGTGGCATTAATTTTGATTTCCAAAAGAAAGGGTGGGGGGGACACCAAGAAAATATTGCTGATAACTCACAGGATAAATAGGTATATACTAAAGATGAGGCTATTTGCATATGAATGTCAATAATAGCAGTTAGGAGGAGGACAGGCTAGAATACATGGTGATAAAATATAATGCAGCTATATTCTCTTGACAACAGGTAAGACTTACATTTAGGGATATGATAACCTTATTATCTAAAACACTATGAGACGATAGTATTGTAGCAATGTAAGACTTATACTAATAAACACATAGATATTAGGAAATGAAAGAAAATCTAGAACTGATTTACAGCCTAACCAAGGTAACTTTTACAGGTTAAAAAACTAAATTATCAAAGCTAAAAACTTTCTTTTGCCTCTCATATTGAGGTCTTTATTCCATTGATGTTTACTTTTGTGCACAGGGTAAGAAAGGGTTCCTGCTTCTTCTTAGATATCCATTTGTATCAACACATTTACTAAAAAGCTTATTCTTTCTCACTGTTCTACAGTGCTGGATCTGGCAGGAAGTGTCCATAGGTATGTAGGTCTGTGTCTCGGCTCTTTATTTGTTTTCATAGGTCTGTTTGTTTATCCCTGCCTGGATATGACGGTCTATTAGTTAATATAATTCAATAAAATCTTGATATATGATACAGTGAGTCCTTTTACTTTTTTTCAAGAGTGTCTTGGATGTTTCTTAGCCCTTTGTCTCTTTATGTAAATTTGAGAACAATTTTGTCAAGACCTACCAGAGAAACAACTGGATTTGAATAAGATTCAAACATCTAAAATCTATGAATAAATAAATCATTTGAAAAAATGTTATATGTTGACGTGACTGAATCTTTTAGTCTATGAACTTGATATATTTTTCATTTAATTGGGGTTTTCATCAATGTCTCTCAGTGATAATTCTTCCTGCAGAGTTCTTCCACATCTTTTGCTACATGTAGTTATCAATATCTTTTGACACTTTGGAAACAATATGTATTTTTAAATATTACAGTAAAAAATATTCCTTTCTCTTTACTTGGTGCATTTCTTGATCCCGCAGGCCTCAATGAAGAAATAAACAAAACACCAAGGGCTACAAGGCCTTCAAGGCCGTGCCTACTACACTAGGTTGGCCCCTAATTACATTTTTAAAATATATTGTATACCTTTACTATCACAATATTTATCACATTTTATTATATTAACTTCAGTTACCTGTCTTTAGTATTTTTGTCTTTGACAGTAACCCCCCCCCCCCAGAAAGGTATGGTATCTGCCTGCATGCTGGTATATTCCCAGTATACAAGGCACTCATACATTTGTTAAATGAATGCATGCACATGCTTTCAAGGGACAGTGAACAGATTACTATGATTACAGCTGAAAATTCACATTGTGTCGTGTAGAAGGCACAACAGAACAGACAAGACTGAGCTTATACTGGTGAATTTTAACGGGATTCACAGGTTTCTGACCAGTAGAGGATTATAAAAATGATACCAGACAGTTTCATTGTTATATGGCACTAAGAATAAAAGATGATATTAAATGTAAAAATTATTTAGAAGGCTATTCTTTTTGTGGTATAAAGATATTAAAACTTGTTTGTCCATGGTTTCAGGAATAAATGGAAAGGAAGGGACAGGATTCAGAAATATCATATAACATTACAAATTGCAAAGGAAGTATTTATATCTAGCTTCATGACTAAAGTGCTAGAAGAGGTAAAAGTTCTATTCTACTTCCCATAAGTATAACTTTTCATTTCTGTCACTAATATATGAACCTTCATGAGGAGCTATGTCTCCATATGATGCAAGGTAAGAATAATTTGAAGATGTACAGCTCCTTTCTTTTCTTACCTAGCATATAGGTTCAAGAGTACAAATTTGAAATTTTTTTGGTTATTATAAAAATAAGAAAACCTGAGAGTACTGAACATCTTCAGAAGGGAAAGGGCTGAAAAACGAAAGAGGTGTTAATAGACAAAAGAGCTAATAAAGAAACGAGTCGTATTCATTTCACAATTTTGTCTTGGATCTCTTTCCATCAAAATTTCCAATTTGTGCAGTCATTGAATAAATACTAATAGTAGGCACTATTTGTTCCTTTTTAAACCCTTTCTTTCTGGATCAATGCCTAAGATAAACATTATTTCAAATACACTGGCAGCAAACATTATATAAATGACAATTTTAAATCACTGACATCACCAGTACCTGGGATTGCTAAAGTGACCATTGTCTTTCCCACCTCTGTCAACATAAACAAAATGTTTTTTCATATATAAACTAGAATCTGGATATGCAATAAGCAATTGTAAAACCAAAAGAAAAACAGTTCTGCAATAAAAATTTTACATAAGTCAATCACATACCTGGTTACTGATAGTACTACTAAGAACTTTAAACCAATCATTAATAACAGCATCATTATCAGACTGAATTAGCAGTTCTGTTCCTTGACGAGTTTTCAGCTTTAGAGAAAAGTGGGGAGAGAAAATTATGGTCAATGCTTTCAACAAATTAAATAAATACATTTAATTCAAAGTTCACAAAACCACCAGTATATCAGTGATAAAAGATAAAAGTACTGGAAAAGACTTGTAATATATAGTCCAAGTCCCAGTAAGTTATATAAGTGAAGCTGAGTTTTGCACCACTTTCCCCCCCTTTAGATTATGGTACAAATTGACTGAACTATGTTTTAACTAGTCATAATGTATGATTATTTCCTCAAATAAGTCAAAAGCAGAATGTCCAATTATTATGGGTGAAATATGACTTATACTAAGAAAAAAATATTACCTCAAATACATTCTTTTTGCTGGATTTATCCTTTGATGCCATCTCAATGGTTGCCCCTCTGAGATCCACCGTGAACTCTGGTTTGGACTGATTACTCCCAAACTTAATTTTAKAAAAAAGGAAAAACCTTTATGTGATACTTATGCATATGTGTGTATTCAAAAAGAATTAAGAGCAACTTTGTTATTAATAAATCAAATAGGAGATTATCATGAATTCTTCTCTTTCTGTATTATAAAATAACAATTCCTGCTTTGAAAAATGTCTAGAAGTATGAACTGGCTCAATTTCCATAATAAAAATGTATATTATAAATAAATAAATAAAATAAAGCCACACTGAAATAGTCATTCATTATAGTGGGAAAATAATATGTTGGTGAGGCTATAAACTAATATACACTTATATGCTAGAGTGATATGAATTGTAACAGCTTCTAAAGAAGAATAATAGATAATACTATTATTTGTGAAATGACAAATAAGTATATACTGGCTCAGCAGTTTAAAATTTATCCTAGACTATATATGGTTATATAAAATAACATGTTGAAAAAGGCAAAAAAATATTCTTATACATGTACAAGAAATACCAGACAGATATCAAGTGCATTTTCCATCTAATAAAAATTTCGATTCTAATTTTTTGCTTTCTAGAGTTATTTCCTTATTGACTATTTATTCTGTCAAAAACTAACAATAATTTATGAAAACTGAAAATCCTAAGCTCCATTTTCTTTTATTCAGTTTTTTGTCAGAAATTATAAACTAAAGCCAGAAGCAATTTAATGAAAACTGTGAAAAGAATGGGAAGATAGCTAATGTGTGTCTGAGAAGAAAAAGAGCTTAGCTATTTATTATATTTGCTAGCTAGATAAGGAAAAGATTAGCAAATAGAAAATGTGTTTTATACTTATTCTGTATCTTGCCATTGTTAACTTACAATTTTGTTTAGTCTGCTAATTAAGAATAAGAATAGAAAATAGCATTCCTGTAATACTGAAAGGTTGGATGTTTTATTCTAATGGCTATTTAATGATAATTTAAAGGTCATGAAGAGTTACTGCAAATATTTCCTATATTTGATATAAGAAATTTCATTTGCTAAAATGTTTCCAAGTCAAATCATAATTGTCGTTGGAATTAGATTTGACCCACCAACCTTGTGATAACTTAATTCACTATGTGAAATACCAATAACTATTTAGTTGCTCCACATTTAAGAAGAGGTAAGGCTTCAACTGTTCCCTTTTGCTTCTTTTCAGCTAGCAGTATGGACTTAAATAATGTATTTGTTTTAATAAAATGTAACAAAATTCAGAATTTAAATGAAATTATTAGTGGAACCATGATAAAAATCAAAATTTTAACTGTTTTCTACAAAGTCATTGCTTTCAAAATCATTTGAAAAACATTTTGCGGATGAGTATATAACTCAGTGGGCAGAGTGCCTGCCTTGCATGTGAGAGGCCCGTGTTTAATCCTCAGTTTTGTAAAAAAACAAAAAAAWTTAACCATAAAGTTGTGTAATGAGCACAGAGAACTTCCTGAATAGAAATGACACATCTCAAAAGTTATGAAAATTGAAAATACACTTAAAAATGGCAAATCAATTATTTATTGTCATCATACGCTCTGCAGATGTTYAGCTATAACCTACAATACAAATAACCAACCCACTAAACATAAACACAACGAAAGGATATGGAATGCCAGAAAAATGTGACTGATATGGTTGGCAATATGTTTTGTTTATTATTCTTTTCCAGAATTTAGTCCCATTTTACTATAACCACCTCCCACCTATGTACTCATGGCCAAAAAACAAAAAAAAGAAAGAAAGAAAGGGAGGGGAAAAGAATTATTGTGGCAAGGGGTATGTATGCAACAAGAACACATACAGTGACAGCTGAAACAGGATCTGACTTTACATATGCAACAGCAGGCCGACGCTTGACAGAGTTTTTCCAAGAAGAAAGCAGCGAAAACAAGAACTCAGAAACTGAGCCCTGTTGGCAGAATGACTTGATGGGGAAAGGGAAGAAAATGATGTCATAACAGTGCATAATGGCAAATGGCACACAAGAGAAAAAAGCATAATGGAATCAGAGGGGACAAGAACACAATTCTATAAGCAGACACAGCACAAGCAAAGCTAAAACTTACAAATATTTTTGCAGAAGCACTAGAATTTATCCCAAAGTATTTTCTGACTTTGTTATTGCACAAATTCCTGCTTTATAGGATTTATCTTCAACAGGCATGTCTTAGCCTATATTCACAACAGAATACTTGAGGGGTAACAGAAAAGACTCACATCTGGCCCACCTACCATCTTGCTCAGCAGCCTGCTCAGAAACCCCTGAGCTTCCTCCTCATGACAGGATGAGCAATTTCCCTTGGTCCCCTTCCAAATCATCTCTTGGGAATAAGTAGTCTTACCATCTAGCCTGCCTAATCCTTCCTCTAGGTCAGAGGTGATTTTATCCTTTGTGTGACATGTGGCAAAGTCAAGAGACAGTTTCAGTTCTCACAAGTAAAGGTGAGGTTGTTAGGCATCTATTAAATACCCTATAATACAAAGGACTGCCCCTCAATAACAAAGAATTATCTGGCCCCAAAAGGGAACTATTTTTAGAAATTTGAAAGTGTGTATAAATGAATGTACGAGTGACTACTGATATTTGTGGGATTATTTTTAATTTTTAAGAGATATAATAAGCCATAACTGAAAGGGAGAATATATTCTGTGTTATAACTATTTACTTGCCAGTTTTCCCCACTGCAATATAAGCACTGAAGACAGAGAACATGTTATTTACTTATAAACCCCCAAGTTTAATACAGCACTGAAGACTTTTACGCTTGCTGTCTGAAAAAAAAAAATACCTACATTTCTAAAGTGAAATGACATGAGAAAAAACACATCTATAAACTTATGTTACTGATAAAATGACTAGAGGAGTAACTTCCTATTTTTCAGAAAACTATTCCGAAGGAGAAGGAAAGGTTCTTGGGTAATACAGCATCTGAATAAAATTTATCTTATAAAGTAGAATTGGAGAAAAGAGTTGTGTGTTTCATTTACTCAATTCTAACTATCCATTCTCTGAAAAAAAGCACTGTGTTAAAACATAGAATTTTGAACAATGTGGCTGATTTTACTCAGCATTTCATTATTGAACATGTGTCCCAGAGTGAGCAGAAGATTTGAACCTGCTATTTCTTGAAGTGGATCTCCTAGGCTTGCTTTTTTTTCGGGGTGGGTGGGGGTGGGGAGGGTGGTGGTGTTACCAGGGATTGACTTGACCCCAGGGGCACTTAGCCACTGAGCCACATCCCCAGCTCATTTTATATTTTATTTAGAGACAGGGTCTCACTAAATTGCTTATGGTTTTGCTAAGTTGCTAAGGCTGGCTTTGAACTTGTGATCCTACCCTGAATTGCCGGGATTACAGGAGTGTGCTACCAATGCTTGACTACACTCATATAGTTTTTATTCAAATAATATTACTTGGCTTTTATAGAACATTTGGTTTTCATTCCCTTAATATGTGAGAATGGGTAAAGCAAGGCAGTCTATGAGTTTTAAAAATAATCCATAAAAAAAGAATTGACTATAGAACCTAGTGTTTTACCATATCCTAAGTCTGTTTTGTCTTTATTGAGGCTATAAAAAACAGTGTAGCTGTGTTTTATTTAATTATGTCTACCTGAAATTATATTTTAAATAATATAACAATATTAATAAAATTTCATAAAATATTCTACAATTTCAAAATTGTGTACCTTAGTGAATTTTAAACTTTGTTTCACTATTGCCACATGGTAAAACAGTAACACAACTTTCGAAGATAGATCTTGCAACTTAATCAACATTAATGCTGTTTAGGAGGTCTGAATTATGTAAGGAGTTCTAGAATGAAAACTTAAAATATTTTATTTATGCAAGTGTTCAGAATAAATGATTATGTGCTAGATATTAACTCTGCATCTTTATATTTAAAAAGAAGTTTTCATTCTTTAAATCACAACAAACCTGCCTATCTAAAATGATAGGCCTCATTTACCACACTGATCTACACACCATAACTTGCTTTATCTTACACACCATAACTTTCAATCTTTAAATATTAGTAATTATCAAATAAGTGACAATTACACAGTTTTAGGTATTTTGTTTTTACTTATTAATCTCTAATTCTTCATTCCTTTTCTTTCATCCATTTTCTCCACTCAATTTCAAATAAAATTTGAGCCACAGGTAAGAAGAAATAATTACACATTCCTCTAGAAGTGCATTAACAAACAAAAAAGCACCATATGCTTTACTTCAGAAGAAAAAGGAAAAAAGATATAATTATTCATCTACTTTAAGATAAATCAAACCAAAATTTCAATCTTTTAATATGGAAGTATAATGTAGTTCATTTCTACTGTACTGGTCAAATTGAGAGTTAGTAAAGCAAAACAGAAGAAATATTCTAGAATATTCACACTCATGATCAATGTGTATTTTTAGGTTGCCATGTCAGAGTAGCTGAGAACTAGCATGCTCTATGGCATTCATAGTTCAGAACAATGCTATATGGTTGCATTAAAAATGCAAGTGAATTTTACAAATGGATTTCTCTTTTATCACCTTCTGATCTATTGGTCATGTGTCAATTTTAAAGATACTCAGTAATTATATGAAAGTGTTGGTAAGGTAGGATATGAAGCAAACCAAATACATTTAGAATACTTTCATTTTAAATTTTATTTTAACATTTCAAACTCAATTACTAAAAATTTTTAGAAATATTCAGAACATGGACTCTGGAGACAAAATAGCAAAGTTCTAAACCCAAATTGCCCACTAGTTTAAAACCTTAAGCAAGTTACTTATCTTTTGATACCTCATTTTCTCTTCTATGGAGGGACTTAAGAAAAACAAAGCAAAACCAAAACAAAAACAGAGCTGTCCCAGAGTTAAGAGGATAAAATACACAAAATCTTTTCAGGACATGATACACATCAAGCATTCAAAAAATTTTTGCAATTATATGTCACAAATTATTATTTTTAGTATTTGTATTAACAATGAACTAAGTATAACAATAGTAAACACTCAAATATACAAAAAAGTCAAATCCCAAAAGTAAAGGTGACATTTCTTTTTCTTCTAAAAGCTAGCTGACTTTATACACAGACACTAACGCCCAAGTCAATGACTGATGTACAAGGGTCAAGTCACAACAGAAGGTGGGACTTGCCACATTACTGCTTATTTTCTGACTAAACATCTCAAATAGAGACATAAACACAGAAAAGTTTAACATTCTTACAAAGGTTCAAAAAACATCTTTGTTCTATCACCACCATCTTTCTGCTGGATAAATGGATAAAGATAATGGATAAAACTGAATCCATTGATTTAAATAATATAACTAATTAGACTTTTCTAATTAGTCCTCTTCTTTCTCTTACAAGTCAAAATGCAACTTCTAGAAAACTTAATTTAGTTTTATACGCATATTAACTGTAACTAGAAGAACTCTGGAAGTAACTTACTGAAATTCAGGCATAACACTATTCACACAAATTTAGAGAGAAAAACTTACCCAACTTGTGCTACTTCCTTGAGTTTTGGTAAAAAGTAAAGATGAACCCTGCAATACTGCCCAAGAAGACAACCAGTTCTTTCTGCAATTACAAAAATGACCAGTTAAAGCACCAATGTCTGGTTCTTCTAACCAAATTCATTATTGACATTCTAATATTGAGGATATAATGCTAACAGAATTTACAGTCATTTATGGTCTCAACCTGATCACAAAGGCCTCTAAGCAAATGAATTTGATCAGAAATTTAAATCATCAAAATAACTATGACCAAAATATCTAATTAACGGCACAGTGTATTCAAGGACATTATGTTTTTTTTTTAAGTCACAAACTTAGAACATCATACCTAATAAGAACTTTTTAAATATAATTATAAAAATCAGACATGTTTAGTAACTCATTCACCTAATTCTTTACAGATACAGACTATTTTATGTTTCTTGGTTATCTCCCTTTTCCTAAAAGGGGCAGTAGATACTAGTAGATTATAAACACAATAAGTACTAGTACATTATAAACAATAAATTATGCCTTGATTAGTCACTGAAATTTTATTTTTGAGATTTTTAAAAAATATCCTAAACTACAAAGATAACACAGCTATGCAAAAACTCTGAATCCAGACATATATAAAGGAAAAGACCTCTGTTTCTTCAATACACATTCCTAAGGTAACCAACATTAAGAGTTTGGTATATATGAAGCTTTTCTAGAAATAGACCTATATCTAGTACTCAAATAAGACTCATACTGAATAGGCTATTACCATTGTTCTTATCTAGAACTTTAAAGCTGATCAATGTTATACCACTCAACTTCCACCTTCAATATCTTTAATTCTGTATTAGAGATTTTTACTTAAATATCTCACCCACTRGAATTGTAAATAGTGTTTCACTTATTTTATCTATTGTAAGCCTAGCAAACTACTTTTCAAACAGTATGTATGTTTGTAAATGGAAAAATAATTTAAAATTAGCTTATAAAGAAATTCAGTTGCTGGATGGGTAAAAAAAAAAGTGTGAAATTCATCAACATTAAGAATTTATTAGTGCTTCCTTATAGAGAAACATGGTCAGTTTTGTAAAAATTTCATATGCACTCAAAAGGGTTTATTTTCATTTTCAGAATGTAGAATTTAATACTGTCAATTAGACCTACTTCATTATTTTACTACTTTTGTATCTATTTGAACATCATGGGTTAAGAGGAGTGAAATAAAATTAATTACTCCTCTATTTTTCCATTATTTTCCATAGTTTGTGCTGATGATTGTTGATGCTACTTTAGTTGGTAAATGATTATTCCTTATGATTAGATCTTGATTGTCAATTTAGTATGATGCTCTTTCATTTTAAAGTGCTCACCTCTGTGATATTTAATGCTTTTCTTTCTAGATCTTAGAACTTTGTCTGCAATTAAGATCCTTATTCCTCCTTTACTTTCTATACCTTGACATGTCCTTATTTTTTTTTTAACTTTTCTGAATAGTTTCAGGTGTTTCTTTTATATATACTATTTAATTGGGCTTTTCTTTATGTTTCAATCTGAGTATTTTTTCATTTTGACAGATTAGTATTATTCATTTGCACTTATTGATATTGACATACTAGATCTATTTGGTGCTTACTAAGGCACAATTTTGTTACATTCTTATTTTATATTTTACTTTATGTGGAAATCTTGAGATACTTTAAAATGACTTGTTTTTATTTGTAAATTTATTTTACAGTCTTAGGATATCATCTACTGACATGCTACCATGAAAAATGCTTCAATTACTGTATTTCCACTATGAAGTGAGCCTGTAACCTCAAAGAGAACAAATCCTAATATTTGTTGACAATAAAAACTTAAAAACTTTCAACAACATAGATGAATCCCAAGACCATGAGGCTAAGTGAAATAAACAAGTTCCAAAACATACAAATATGATATATATCTACTCATATGATGTATCTAAAATATTCAAAATCATGGAAACAGTAGAAAAGTGCTCACAAAGGAATGAAGAAGAGGGTAAAGGGGTTAGAATTTAGTGGGAAGAGAATCAATGCTATAAAATGAAAAAGTCCTAGAGATCCATTACATAACCACATGCACTACTAAAATATACACTTAAATGGTTAAGGTGGCAAACATAACATTATGTGGGTTTCTTTCTTTCTTTGTTATACACACACACACACACACACACACACACAATTAAACTTTAAATATAATTCTGGAGAACATGGCACATCTGCAATTATGAGTTTGATAATTTCCCAAAACGTAATGGCTTTTGTGATTCTTTGTACAAGATAAAATGTGTATACATTAGAAAATGAGCAACTCAATGAACCAGTATTTCCAAATGCCCAACAAAATACTATAAAATTATGCACAGGTTAAAATCCACTCAAATGCAATAAAGATTAATGGTTTTTAATGTAACTGAATATAAAAGTTTGATAAGTTTTTCAGTCTTCACTGAAAACAACCTTTAAGAAATTAATATTTGTAGAGTTTTGGTGTAACAAAAAACAGTCATAATTATACTGTGTAAGGGAGGATTATTTTCTTAAACTTTAACAAAAATAATACGTCACAAAAGACTTCAAGCAGAGAAGAACTGCAGAGAATTCTACCATCTTCCATTATGTAAAATACTAAAGATTTGCAAAAATAAAAAACAATGCCTCTCTTCTCATGGAGATATTTTTCTTAGAAAATGCAGGATTTTTTTTCTTCATAAAAAGTTGTTTGTATTAATTTTTAATAGATTATTATAAAAAGAATTATTATTCAAGATTTCTCATTTTAATCTCTCATGTAAGTATCTATACACATAACCTATACAAAGGTTCTTAGAAATACTCAAAAGAGTTTAAAGGGCTCTTCTGACCAAAAAGTTTGAAAACCACTAGTATATGGAAGATTAAAATAACTGTTTTACTTAACTCCATGTAAATACATTTGAAGATGATGAAATGGATGCTGGTTTTACAAAACAGTATTTCAAAAAAAGTGGGACATCTAAAAGACTAATTATCATACGAGGAGGAGGATAAAATAAAAAGCAGAGAAAGCGGCCAAAGAGTTATGTATACTACATTCAGTCAAAATAGATAAAAAGGAAAAATTCATTTCATAAATGAATTCGACCAAGGAACAGTCTGAGGAACACATACTGCTTATAAAGCTATTTCAGAGCATTTACAACTTCCAACTGCAATCTGGCAAAAACAGTTCAATTAAACCCCCAAAATTCAACTACTTGGAAATTTAAAACTCTTTAACAGACTGATTTCATTTTGACTATAAAATCACATCATTTTAGATGATTTCAACATGGGGGAGGGGCGTGAGTGTGGTGGCACACGCCTATAAGCCCAGTAGCTCAGGAGACTGAAGCAGGAGGATCTTGAGTTCAAAGCCAGTCTCAGCAACTTAGGGAAGCCTTATGCAACTCAGCAAGACCCTGTTTCTAAATAAAATATAAAAAATAGCTAGGAATGTCGCTCAATGGTTAAGTACCCCTGGGTTCAATCCCCAATACCAAACAAACCAACCAACCCTATATGAAACTGGCAAATTGTGTGGAAAAAATACACTGCTACAGGGGGTAGGAAATGATTCAATATCTCAGAGCACAATTTTATATACACTCTATCAAAATGCCCTTGCATATGCTATTTGTAAAAGGAACTATGCAAAATGCTATGTGTAGTCTTGTTTATAATAGCAAAAATTGTAAGTATCCTAAATGTCAACCAATACACATAGTTATTACGTTCTTGCAAATAAATAAAGGTTAAATTAACACAGTCAGATAACATAACTATGCTGTAGTTAAAAATAATGTGGCAACTGTAAATGCAATGAAATTGTCTTCAAGATAAACTGTAAAAAGATTATGTTTAAGACTTAATCTATATACATATAAACATCTACATACATATCCTATTTCTAGAGAAAAGCACTAAAACTCATGGGACTCAGAACTGGTTGCCTTTGGAGAGAGGAACTGGTGGCTGGATGACTGACTTTTCACAGGATAAAGGACCTTTGTTTTTCACCATGTGAATTTATTGCTTACTGGGGGGAAGACAATATTCAAAGAAAGTGATATTTCCTCATAATTCTCTTCCCTATTATCTCTGAATTTAATTACTTAAGAAATATTTCATGACAAAGGAAATGTTTCATACATTTCACAGCAATCTTAATTACCTTCGAATATACATGCTTAGAAATTCTTCTGAACCTTTTAATTATTTCTACTATAACAGAATTATAATTTTTCATTTATTTCAATCAGATGAATCATGTAAGAACATAAAGATTTGTGTACTTACCGAACCTTTTTCCCATGTTCAGTAATTTTTGTTACATTTAACAATCCATATTTCTCTTGACCCTATGGAACAGAGTAGTATTGTTTATATACCATTCACACAGACAATGATGTCCAAGTTCTAATATGCGACTGAACCAAAATGGTCTGGTAGTCTAAAAATTAGCTTGAAAAAAAAGGTTAGTCAGTTAAGATGCTTAGTTTTAGAATACATTAATAATATGGTTATCCTAATAAGTAAAGTTATTTTCAGTAATCTTATAATTAGACATTTCCTCTTTTTTAAGTCATAGAAGCCAGCAGGTGCTTTGCTATCAAGTTGGAWTTTCACATGAATAAGTCAATACTTGGAAAACGATTTACATTTTCTTATTCAAAGAAAGTGAAACAATGCAGTGATGCTAAATACCACACACACACACACAAAAACAGAAAATCTGAAAAATATTCAGTTATGCTAACACATTGTCAGAATGTAAAAATAATTAGGTAGAACAAAATGCAGCTACTATTAAATTACCCAAAAGTAAGTGGTACTCTGCATAGAACTGGCTTTAATGTGGCATAAAAATCTCAGTGTTTCATTAAACACACCACATGGTGAACTGAGCTTTAAAAAAACTAGATTAGCTAACTGATGCCAAAAACGGTGACACAAGCTTTATCATCAGATTCTATAAAGGCAAAAGCCATTATACCAATTAAATGTTATCTTAAAATTCTTCCAGATTAAAATAAAAAAGCACCTTCTCACTGCCTTAGCATTTTATATTCAAATGAATTTAATCTAAATGAGTACTGGTGCCTATAGTAATTATCATTAGTAAATACTTATGTGCACATGTGACAATTTTAAACTGAAACACATTCACATAGAAAAAACATTCTCAATTCAGAAATTGACTGATTCTTCAGCTATATTTTTTCAATGTTATCTTTTTTTTTTAATTTTAAAGAGAGAGAGAGAATTTTAATATTTATTTTTTAGTTTTTTCGGCGGACACAACATCTTTTTTTTTTTTTTTTAAATGTGGTGCTGAGGACCGAACCCCGGGCAGCACGCATGCCAGGCGAGCGTGCTACCGCTTGAGCCACATCCCCAGCCCTATTTTTTYTAATGTATCTTAATCAGAAAATATAAATCTTTTTTTAATACAGGAGACAAATGTAATATTTGAGTATTTTCTCAATATATCTAAAGATAATGTTGAAAGTTTTCAGTCTTATAAAAATTCACTATCAGTAGATAAAGCTGAAAAATGGCTATTTTTTTTTTATACTAGAACTCATAAATAACCTATAGGTAGTTTTCACTAATTTTTTCCATAAAGCATAGTTATATGCTCTCCCTAGATACTTTTCATAAGAACTCTTTGTCTATCAACAAAAACTTCAGTTATACAAATTAAGTATGTAAAAGATATTAAATAAAAGCATTCTCAATTTACTGTTCCTATTCCCTTAGAAGCATGGGGAAATCTTCAATAATATGGGAAGTAAATAACAACATTAACATGAGTGGCTAGGCACTGGTTATGTAAACTGGAACTGGAAAGAGGCATAAAAAGTGTCACTGCTGGAATTGTATAAAATAAACAAAGGCAAGAAGGATATGCAGGCATCAAAACAAGAAGAAAAATGAATGACAATCTAAGGACAAGAGAGATTATCTACTTCCGGGGCTCTCACCTGGGTCAACAGATGAATGGAAAGCAGTGCAAAATTGTTCATGTATATGAACTGTTCAAAAGGGTAAAGAGCTTTCACCAATTCTCAACAAGGATCAAGACCCAAGTACTAATGCTCTCAATTAAACACTCTAACTTAAACATCAATTAAGAATAAAATTTGCCATATCTGAATGTATTTTAAAAAAACACAAAAAAGAATGCACAATGTATTAAGTGCTATGAAAATTACATAGAGAGAGAAGGCAATCAGACACAGTTTCCTAGAAAAGCAGACCCTGGAGCTAAGGAGTAGGAGTTAGCAAGATGGAAATGACAGGAGAGGAAAATAACAAAAGGCATGGAAGCTAGATAGCCTAACATATTTGAGGGCCTTTTTAATTTCCCTCAAAACATGGGGTAAGATGGAAAAATGGCAAGAAATGAGACAGTTTTGAAACAACAGACTAAGAAAAGAGTGGCAAGATTGGGAACCAACTAGAATGATATCTAATAATTACTATAAGAAATGACAAAGACCTGAACTAGTGCGATGACAGTGAGAGAAAAATGGGGCCAAATTTATGAGAAATTTAGAAAGCAAAGATGATAGGAACCGGATGTGAGTGTTTCAAAAAGGGAGGATTCTGGGGAAAAGGGAGGAACTTGGGGAAAACACCAAGCTTGAGCAACTAAGTAGATGAAGGGACCTTTGTTGCAATGTCACTTTTCCAAGAAACTTGACCCTTCTAAAGCACAAGTTCTTTCCCTTCTCTTAACTAGTAAGTAATCTGACGTTATTTACTACTGCCCCAGTTTGATTCCCTCCTTGCACTTTACCATAGACTGTATATTTATGTCCTCCAAATTCTGTACGTTGAAACCCAAGTTCCAGTGTGATGCTACTTGGAGATGGGGCCTTTGGGTGGGGGTTGGGGGGTGGGGGGGCCTCACTGGATCATGAAGGTAGAGTCTCATGATAGGAATCAGTGTCCTTGTAAAAGTAACCCCTGCCCTTTTTGCCATGGGACAGACCAAGACGGTACAAATCTAAGAATCAAGGAGTAGGGTCTTGGCAGATACCAAATCTACCAGTGATTTGGAATTCCTAGTTTTCAGACCTGTGAAAATAAAATTTCTAATTTTAACAAGATATCTTGTTTATAACTGCTTTTGTTACAGCAGCCCAAATGGACTATGACATGCTTAATGTAAAGTTTAGTATTGTGTACTATTGTGCACATATTTTTGTCCACTGTCTATTCTACGAGGTCATAAGTTGGGACCACATCTGTTATGTTCATCAATGTATGACCAGTGCTTGGGACTGCATCTAGCATGTAGTTTGTATTCAGTATATATTCCTTGAAGTAATTTTCCAACAAGTTAATAGTGCTGTAACATGAAACAAACATAAGAGAAGGTCAGTGACACAGTAAACAAAGCCTTAACTTTTAAACACCAAAGTTTTTAAGTTTGACAAAAATGCTTAAATTTGACATATGTGGATAATATATGTTGTATATACAGGTGAGAGATTTAGGGAAAATATTTCCTAAAATTACATCAATTTTTTAAAAAAATTTCATACTACCCTGTATACATTTACTATAAAATATAATTCAAAATCAACCAATGTATTTGTTTCTTACTGAAATAACACCATAAAAACATCTTAGAGCTTGTAAAATATGCCCAAATTTATACTTTAATATGGTAGCTATTTGATACTACAAAGTGAACTTCATATTAATAAGGACTAGCCAACTACAGTTAAATTTTAACAAACAAGTTTGTAATACTGGATCCCATGGGACTGTGCACTTTAAAATGGTTGGTGGTTAATTTTATGTGATTTTCAACACAATTTAAAAAAAAGTCTAAGGGCCAGTATTATAACAAGTTAAATATTCAAATCACATTTAAAAAAAAAGTCCTTAGAATAAGTAATATTCAATGAAAGAAACAGCAAATTTGTCTGTTAATAGTCTTTTTAAAAAAGTGTTGAAATGTGCTTTTCTCCAAAATGGTTAATACATTTTAATAGTGTAATTGGAAGGCAAAATCAAAAGCTCAAGTTTCCAAATTATTCAGTAGAACAAATTATCCAATTTTATCCAGCATTCAGTAATCGGGACCTTTTTAAGTGCACTCTCTCACAGGCACACTGGGACAAATAAAGAACAGCTTCTTAGGTCAGCCCACAGAAGCCTATTTAATCCATACTGTAGAAAAATAAACTATTAATATTTTAAGAAGCTTATACACTGCCTATTTAAAAAAGATTTTAAGAGACTATGAAAATAATAATGCTTATGTAAAAACCAAAAATACAAATTTTGTTTAATTAGAGGAGATTGATGAGGTACATGGACAATTTGCTTAGATTTTTAAGGTGACATCAGGTATTTAACTGGATAACTAGATATGGTACACTTTTCTAAATTTGTAATTTCCTTTTTCTTATCACTAAGCCTTTATCCAAAACCATATTTTAACTTACAAAGAAAGAGGAGGAAAATGTCTCCTTGTAGTAATTGGATAAGAGTAGGAGGGGCAAGACTAGGTCACAAAGCAAGCAGAGAGGAGGGAACTTGAGGGTACAGGGAAGAAAGACAAATCTAAGGGGCAAAAGACTCAATGAGGGAGGCTAAGACAAAATGGGGGAAAAGAAACATCCAGGAAGGAAACAATGCCATTTGTTTATGTGAAAAAGAATGGCCTTTGGCTATATAAGAAGCATTGGTGAGGTAGTTCCCAGTGATGGCCATCAGAGGGTACCATTAATCCAGGAGAAGGTCTTTAGAAAATGGATAAAAGGGTGGGGAAATAATTTGTAAACAGTCCTAGAAATTTCATATACAAGGTTTATAACTGCCTAGAAATTCCTTTTTATCAAAACATATCTATGAAAGAGAAATTGTATATTACCTTTGTTTAAAATAAATTATAAAGTATTTTTTGATTTTTTTCCCATATGAACTGACCAATTAAAAGTATTATAGTAACAGTGTGCCTTAGATTCATAACAGTAATTCTTGGCAAAACTAAAATCATGTTTATGTACCTAACATTGTGTTAGATAACACAAAAAATATAGAGTAAAAAAAAACATACCTTCTATCTATCTCGTAGAGAGACTTGGGGTACATAAAATAACTTGTATTTATTCAATGCAATACATGACTTAGAAGTTCAGAAATAAAGAGGAGACCATTTTTATTACATGAGACTAGTTTGGCATGGCCTCCTAAAAGAGTGAGTTTTTAAAGAGGTACAGGATTTGGCTCCATGTACAGAAAAGCCAATGTCCATCCCACACAGGGAGATTGCTTAAGCCAATCCTAGAAATGTGTGTGTGTGTGTGTGTGTGTGTGTGTGTGTGTTTTAAAGTTTGAGATAGATACGCTAATTAACCTGATTTGATCATTACTCAAAGTATACTTTGAACATCACACTGTATCCAATAAATATCTAATTACTAAGTACTAATTAAAAATAAGAAAAAAAGAAAATGTGTACAATGTGGATAGGGACCACAAAAGACTGATGAATTAAAAAAGAATGTGAAAGGTTATCTGGGAAAGCTTTACCTCTAAGAAATCTAAAGTCTGATTAAAAAATAATAGTCTATCATAATTTCATAAAATGGGAAAGTAAAAATAAAAATGTCTTTTAAAAAGCTTTAGTTTCATTTATTCATTCAATGAATGTTTACTGAGAAGTTATTATATAACCCTGTAGTAGGTAACTGCAGACACTGTGTTCCGAAAGATGACACTAACAGAGAGTCAGAGGTTCCTATTGAAAAGAGTTACTCCTTTTTTATGATATTAACTAAAGTATAATTAAATTCTAAAAGATAATCATAGGAAAACCTCATCTAATCTAGAGGATTAGAATAAAATTCTATGAAAAAGCAAAGTTTGAATTGAACCCTAATAAATTGATCAGACAAAGATGTGAGAAAGAAATGGTCAGTGGGCAGAGGAAACAACAAGTTTAATAGCCTGGAGATGAAAAGTAGGCTCCCTTGAGGGACTGAAAAAAGATAGTGAAGCAAGAGGAAAATAAGCAAGAAGGGAAGATGAGGGAGGGTACGAGCTGAGGCTGAAGAAGCAGTCAAAAGCCAGAGCTTGCACAGTCTTCTTGACCTAATTAAAAAATTTACACTTAATTCTAAAAGAACAGGGAAACCAACAAAGGGCAATAGCAAGATCAGCACGACAAGGCAGACTGTGAAGGAATGAAATGAGAGTTTGAGTAAAACTCTGTTCAAGTTAGATGGATGTCAGAAGAGAATTCGAAGGAAAATTTACAATAGAGACACATTATCAACAATATTCATCCAGCACAGACTGAACAATGAACTTTACAGCACAGAAAAAGAAGAGTGTCTATGCTCATTAGAAGTGGAGGAAGATGCATCTTACCTTAGACTGCTGGTCTGAGGTAAAAAGGGAGGGTGTGTGTGTGTGTGTCTGTCTGTCTTTCCTCCTCACCCCCAGTACTGGGGTTGAACACAGGAGTGTTTTACCACTGAGCTACAACTCTTTTTTAAGATGGGTTTTGCTATGTTGCCAAGGTTGGTCTCTAACTCGATCTTCCTGCCTCAGCCTTGAATTACAGGTGTATGCCACTGTATCCAGAAGAAAAGTATAATTCAATAGTATCCTCTAGGAATTTTTATATTTATTTTTAAAAACCAAATATAAATTTGTCACGTAAAAATATATATAAATTAATCATGGTTTATTTTGTACAAAAGGGGGCTTTCCTATCAATAAAATGCCAAGATACATTTAAACATTATATTTAGAGAAAACTGATTTATTGAAACTAATTGAAATAACTGAACTATATTATACTGTATGTTTCTATCATACTAACTGGATCTTGGTGCTTTGGTGAAGAGGGAGAAGATTCATTTTCAGGAAAGCAGGGTTTTGAGGCACTTGGAGATTCCTACAAGAAATAAGTAATGAAAAAAGTTACTCTATCTTATATAAATCTATTTTTCCCTGTACTCATAATGGGAGAGCTTAATAAAGCAGTTGAGAAAATTTTTTCCTTGTCATTTTACCTTCCTAAATTCAGCTCTAAAACTCATAGGATACTGATTTGAAAACTACAGGTATTTATGAAACACAGCAAAATTTATAGCAATTAGTTTAATTAATTAAAATAATGGTCAAGGAATTACTCAAAATAAATGATGTACATTGGCTTAAAATTATGATTTTACATACCAGTTTGAATTTTTTTCCCCCAGTACTGGAGTTGAACCCAGGGACCCACACATGCTAGGCAAATGTTCTAACACTGAGCTACATTTTCAGGCTTTTTAAAGTTTATTGTGATGGGCTGGAGATGTGGCTCAGCGGTAGCGCGCTCGCCTGGCATGCGTGCGGCCCGGGTTCGATCCTCAGCACCACATACCAACAAAGATGTTGTGTCCGCCAAGAACTAAAAAATAAATATTAAAAAAAAAAAAAAGTTTATTGTGAGACAGGGTCTTGCTATGTTGCCCAGGCTATCCTCAAACTTTTGATCCTCCTGCTTTCGCCTTCCAAGTAACTGGAGTCATAAGTATGCACTACCATACCCAACTGAATTAACTATATTTAAAATAACTAAAATCTAAACTCCTATGGATAAATATATATTGGTCACCAACCAACTTGATGTTGATATGGTAGGTGTAAATATCCATAGGAATACTTGGTAACTGCCAAAATAAAATTTTACTTTAGTCACTGATAGCTATATGAGAAATTAAATTAAATTCCTATTAGTAAAGTAATTTATAGCTAGTTTCCCAATGATTAGAAATGAGCAAGATTAAAAATAGGTAAAAACAAAATCTAAGACTGAAAGATTAATAACTCAAAAGGAAAAATATTTTAATGTCCAAGCCTACAAGAATATCTCAAGAGCAAACCAGGAACTGGGCATGGTGGCACACACTGGTAATCCGAGTGATTTGGAAGGGCTGAGGCAGGAAGATTGCAGGTGTCAGTCTAGCCTTAGCAACTTAGTGAGACTCCGTCTTAAAATAAAAGATAAAAAGGACTAGGGAAGTAGTAGCTCAGTGGTAAAGCTCCCTTGAGTTTAACTCCCAGTACAAACAAACAAACCTGTAAGGACATGTTTAATAAGAAAACTTGGTCAAAATTAAAAATAGTATGCATTTCTCCTACAGATGTTTACAGGATGATTCATGGATGATAAAACTGAAAACTTTTTTGGCAGTATTTAAATTTTCTCCTTTCTCATTTAGATGCTTTGAATAATTTTAGGAAAAAAGAGAATCAGAAAAACCATTTACTAATTTGTTATCAATTTTTATATCAAGCCAAACAATGCCTTCAAATATTCATCTCCAAATTTCTATCATTCCAGTTTTCTTATGAAACTGGAAAAGGCATGGATAACATATCAGAATTTGCTTTAATTAACAATGCAAAAACCATTAATTCCACACAGCAATGAAAGTTCACAGGGAAACCTTTGAAGGGACAATTTACTAACCAAGCCCAAGGCCCACACTATCAGTGGAGAAAATATTAAGATCTACAAAAATGTCATTACAAGAAGGAATTAAACTTATTGTCCAAATCTCCTTTATACTCATTTTTTTCTGACATTCTCAGATCAATTTCTTGCCTTCTACAAGAGTGTTTATTATTAAATAAGTCTGAGAAAAAGGAAAGATTCACTAACTAGAAAATAAGTAACTGAATAAAATGAAAGCTTATTTCTAATTTGTTTTTTTAAAGCATTGTCAGTCCTATAGAAATAAAACCCACAAATGAAGTAATGATGTATGCATAACAATTATAGCTATTATAAACATAAAACAATTCTACACTTATACATTTATGTGTGTGTATAAATGTCTTAGTTATTTACAAATAACAGTTTTAGTAATAACCATACATAAGCAGAAACAAAAAAGATCCACTCACACATACACAGTCATACACACACATACCTCCTCCTCCAAGGTTATCTCCCAGATGAATATACAATATTAAGCTTCTTTGATTATATTTCAAATTACATATACTCTCATCCCTTATTACATATCAGCTAGTTTGCTCTAGTTTAGTCCCTTTTCTCATAACTTCAAAGTCTGCCCTATTTTTAAATAGAAGAATTTACTTATTGAAGCATTTAGCTACAAATTTGTTTACAAAGTTTAAGATGGGGGGCAAAGACAATTTTATTAAAAATAAGTAATCTCTGGTCTCAAGACAATCACATTCTTGAAAAAGGAAATAGAATTTCATACAAGTTGCTTTAGTAAATAGATGGAAAAGAAATCCCAAGGGAGATTTAAATAAAGAAACTTATCACCAAATAACCATCTATCTTATTTCTTCTAGTCTGAAGAGGCAGTGGAGGTAGTTTAACCATGGCTTTTGCCCTCAAGTATTATATGTGATGTTTAAGAATTTCTATATACTCTGAATAGTAATCTGATTAGTTGACTGAATTTATCTATTACAAGTCTCCAGAAATTTTACCTGCCTACGCTAATCTCAATCCTAAAAATATTTTCAAGCCTGTGTTCAATAATATAGACTCAAGAAGGACATTCTTTAAAATGCCTTCTACATTCAATTGCATAACACAGAATGTGAATAGATTATTTCTGTAGCTCCACAAGTCTACTTTGTAACATGTAAAGAATAATTTTATATAGTCACTTGTATTACCAAAATACTACACTTGTTTTGACTGAGCAATTGAAATCAATTTTTTTTTTATACAAGCAATTTAAAACTAGAAGTATCCAAATAAAAAGAAATACGCCTTAAGGTTTCTTTCTTTTTTTTTTCACCTTAAAAATGCAGGGAAAAATACAGAAAACATGCCTACTCCATCCCAAAAATGAAACCATATTGTAAAGATTTAAGTCCTTTGCGTTGTTTGCACCAAAATTCATCCCCTATGTGAAACAGAAAACACCACTTCTCAGCAACAGAGGACATCATTTCTCAGAATGATAAAAGAAGCAAGCACTTTGTGCACACAGCATTTAGGGAAACAAAATGGAGTAGGATTCCAGTCGAAAATTAATATGAAACCACCTAGAGACTGAAGACATACAAGGGTAACAGAAGTTTGACCTGAAAATGATAGGATCAAAAAAATTTGTCACCTACTGGGTTCAAATGTGTAAAACGTGTGTATATATACATATATACAACTATTAATCCACAGAGAAGTCAATTCATTGCACAAAAATGTAAAAACTCAAGTCCAAAACCTATTCCATAACAAACTGATACTAAATATATGAAAATATTCACTAAGGCAGCCAATTTAGTTAAGAAGACGATAATACATTATCGTAACATTTTATCACATGTGCAGATCAAAAACTTAAGTTAGTTCAACAGAAATCAAATGTTCTAGCAAAAATCATATTTAACAGAAATATTACATAAAATGAAATATTAGTAAAAATGGTTAAACTCACTGCACAATATAATGCACAAAGATCTTGCCAAAATTCTCAATCAGATCTCCCCCTGAAAATCCTACCTTGTCATTGGTGTCCAATACAATGGTGCTATGTCTCCACTTTGTTAATACTATTGGTTCTTGCAGCCGCCTGTCCAAGCTCCTACTTTTAATTATTTCTCTTTGCTGCTGGGCTGAAGGATTGTACTAAAAAAAAGAAAATTTACTTCATAAATAGAAACAAAAGCAAAATCTAATATGCTGGTTCCAAATAACACATGACTACTAGGTGAACTTCAACATATGACACAACCATAAATTTTTCAGCTTCAGTTTTCTTATCTTTGACTAGCACTATAACACAACTGACAAGATTATAGATTTTGGTAGTGAAGAGACTCGGTTTATTGTTATCTTTTATAAAATATCTAATCTAAATTTTTTTCAATTGCAAAAACAGATTCAACAGAAACATCATCTCATTCATAGAGTTGTTCTAAAGAGTAAACAAAGTATAAAAATGTATAAATGTTTCCCTGGCAGTATATTCTCAATAAATATTATCTGTCATAATTTATAAAAGAATGTCACTAGACAAACTTATTTTTTAAGGTTACTTATTACTTGAATTTAACTTTTGGTTTAAGTTTTAAAAATCATGCTTCAATATACACAATAGTATTCGTATATTTAAGAGTTTGCATTAAAGCACATAATTTTATAAGACAAACACACAATTTTATAAAATATAGATATGAAGGGAAAGATAGGCCCCAAGATAGAAATAATGAATAATTTCAATACCCCACTTTAACCAACAAATAGATCAACAAAACAAAAGGTCAACAGAGAAACATAACAGCTAATTTGTACTGTAAAAAATGGGCTTATTAGATWTCTACAAAATATTTCATCCAACAGCTGCAAAATACACATTCTTTTCATTAGCACATGGAACTGTTTCCAAAAGAGACCACATATTAGGCCACAAAGCAAGTCTTTAAATTTTTTAAAAAAACTGAAATAATTTCTTGCTATTTACTTATTTGATCACAGCGGAATGAACAATAGCAAAAGAAACTGCAGAAATTATACAAACACATAGAAACTGAACAACACAATATTAAAAATAGCAGGTCACTATAGGTTATTAAAGAAATCAGATAGGAAATTTAAAAATTCCTTGAATCAAATGAAAATGGAAACATAACATACCAGAACCTGATGGATACAGTGAAAGCAGTACTAAAATGAGAGTTTTATAACAATGAGTGCCTACAAAAAAAAAAAAAAAAAAAAAAAAAAGAAGAGATAGATCTCAAATATATAATGTAATAATATATCTCACGGTCTTAGGAAAATAAGAACAAACCATTCACAAATTAATAAAGAAATAATAAAGATCAAAGCAGAAATCAATGAAATAGAGATAAAATTTAAAGCATCAATGAAACAGAGCTACTTCTTTGAAGAGATAAACAAAATTGGCAAACTTTTGGCTAAACTAACCAAAAAGAGAAAAAAAATTAAATCTGAAAATAACATACTACAACAGATACCACTAAAATTCAAAGGATCATTTGGGAATATATTGAAAAACTATAACAGATCAATAGCACGGAATGTGATTAAAGAAGTAATAAAGCTGCTCAATGAAGAAGAGACCAGGACCAAATGAACTCACTACTGAATTTTACCAGACTAACACCACTGATCAAAAGATATTTAGAATTGATAAAACAAATCGAATAAAGTAGAGGGATACAAAATTTTTCAGCTTCAGTTTTCTCATCTTTGACCTAAAACCTTGAAACCACTATGAAAATACTTCAAGATATTGGCACAGACAATAATTTCTTGAACAGGACTCTAATAGCTCAGGGAACAAAAGCAAAGGGTTAATGAATAGGATTATATCAAATTAAAAAGCTTTTGTATGGCTATGGAAACAATAGAGTAAAAAGACAATGTACAGAATTGGAGGAAACCTTTGTCAGTGTTCATCTGATAGAGGTTTAATAACCAGAATATATATAGAACTCAAACAACAACAACAAAAAAGGCCAAGTAATCAACCAAAAAGTGGGCAAATAATATGAACAGACACTCAAGAGAAGTACAAATGGCCAATAAAAACATGGAAAATGCTCAACATCTGTTGTCATAACAGAGATACAAATCAAACCCATAGTGAAATTCCATCTCACCCATTAGAATGGCTATTATTATTATTATTATTTTTAAAAAGAGTGAAAGAGAGAGAGAGAGGAGAGAAGAGAGAGAGAATTTTAATATTTATTTTTTAGTTTTTGGAGGACACAACATCTTTGTTTGTATGTGGTGCTGAGGATCAAACCCGGGCCACACGCATGCCAGGCGAGCGCGCTACCGCTTGAGCCACATCCCCAGCCTAAATGGCTATTATTTAAAAAACAAAAACAATGCTGGAAAGAATGTGGAGAAAAAGCAAATCTTATACAATATTGGTGTGAGGTTCCGCAGAAAACTAAAAAGAGAACTACCCTATGATCCAGTTATTCTCCTCCTGGGTATTTATATAAAGAAAATAATGTCAGCATACAAGTGACACCTACATACACATGTTGAGTATAGTATTCTTTACTATAAGCCAAGAAATGTAATCAGCTTAGGTGTCCATCAACAAATGAATGTATATAAGAAATATGGCATATATACACAATGTGGAATGGAATGTTCAACCAAAAAGAAAAATGAAATCTTGTCATTTGCAGGCCAATGGATGGCACTAGAGGTCACCCTGCTAAGCAAACTAAATCAGGCACAGAAAGATAAGTACCACATATTTTCTCATATGTGGAAACAAACAGACAAACAAAATAACCTGAAGGTAGAAAAGGAACAATTAGGGACTTTAGAACTGGAGGGACAACAGAGTGCAGAAGAGCAGGAGGGACATCATCAATGCATGCATGCCAAATTCCATTAATTTGTAGAATTAATGCCTGCTAATAAAAAATGACATATGCAATAAAGCGCTTAGACTGTACTTTGAAAAAAATGACAAAAAAGGGGGAATTGGGGTTTTAGGTTTTGTTTTTGTTTTCATTAAGGTCAGAATACATTTGTTTTTCTAAAGTGATGATACTACTTCTAAAAGTCAATTCTGAACACACTGTTTGCCTACAAAGATAGGTAATCATTACCACATATAAAACTAAAAACATTGCTACACATAAAATTAAAAACACATGACCAGTAAGATATTAAATCATGTAAGAATTGATATTACATGTAGATCACCAAGAAAAAAAAAACATCTGAGAGAYATAAGGCCTTAAGAGTCATGCTGTCTTATGTAGGAAATTTCAATAAATTATAATAAAAATGATAAAATATGGTGGAGCACACCTGTCATCCCAAAAGCTGGGAGGCCAAGGCAGGAGGACCGCAAGTTCAAAGCCAGCCTTAGCAAGAGCAAGGGCCTAAGCATCTCAGTGAGACCCTGTCTATAAATAAAATACAAAACAGGGCTGGGGATATGGCTCAGTGGCCCCTGAGTTCAATCCCTGGTACCCTCTACCCTCCCTCACAAAAGACAAAATAATCTACTTTTAACAGATAAATTCTTCTCCTCAAACCAAAGGATACCTGATATCCACTCCTCTCACCCCTAAAACCGTCCAGCAAATCTTAACTTGTAATGACCCTCATTATAATTTTAAAATTATATGTTAGGGATGTTTTACCACTAAAAAATCTTCCAAGATCCTCCTCTCCGCAATATGTCACTTATTAACACTCCAAACTAGTCCATCCAGGCCTTCCCAAATGTCTCCCAAAGCTCTTATTTCCTTCTCGACATTAAAATTTGCCATAGCCAGTCAATCACATACAGTTTTAATTAACTGACAATCAATAGTCTTAAGACTATCAAGTTCACAAAGGATAATTCTAGACTAAACAATGATGATGTTTAAAGCACCCCCTCTCCCCCACAAAATTCTGTGTCAGATGTCTCTAGGTATAAAAAGACACAATTACTATAGAGTGCTATATCTTCCCTGCAGTAGAATCATCACTAATGATAATTAAAATGTGTAGTTGTATGTAAGCCTGTGTATAAACTTTACTGGAAGCTAACCTAGCTTTTAAGCCTATAATTACTACAATTTAGAAATCCTTTCTATATGACAACAAAAATAATGTAAAATTAAACTGAGTAATTATTACAATTTTAAATGTGTTCATAAATTTATAAGCAACAACATATTTATAAAAGCAAATAAGGCATAAAGGAAGTAAATGTTAGATGTAAAATAACAGAAGCTAGTAGTAAGGAGCACATAATTTGAGAAGAAAATCCCCATAGTTAAAACAGACACAAAGACACACCTACTTTTTTTTTTTTTACATATTTATTTTTTGGTTGTAGATGGACACAATAGCTTTATTTATTTTTATGTGGTGTTGAGGATCAAACCCAGGGTCTTGGACGTGGTAGGCAAGCACTCTACCCCTGAGCCACAACTCCAGCCCCAAGGCACACCTATTTTTTAAAAATTGTTTCCCTTAGGAACTTCTATTTTTTTCTTAAAGAATTTTAACTGAGATTTTGTTTTAAATTATTTTAAACATATCTGCAAAAATAGAGAGTACAACAGGAACCCACCATTGACCTTTGTCATATTAAGAAATGCTTCAGGTATTTTTTTCCCTAAAGAAATAAAATGTTGCCAGGCATGGTGGTGCACTCCTGTAATCCCAGCAGCTCCGGAGACTGAGGCAAGAGAATCTCGAGGTCAAAGCCAGACCCAGCAACTTAGAAAGACACTGACTGCAAATAAAATATTAAAAGGGTCTGGGGAGGCCTGGGGCTGTGGCTCAGTGGCAGAGTGCTTGTCTAGCATTTGTGAGGCACTAGGTTTGATCCTTAGCACCACGTAAAAATAAAATAAAATAAAATAAAGATTTATCAATAACTGAAAAAAAAAATGGTCTGGGGATGTGGCTCAGTGGTTTGGTGCCCCTGAGTTCAATTTTCTTACCAGTAGCAAAAAAGAAAAATAAAAGAAATAAAATATTACAGACACATTAAAGGCCCTCTGTCCACAACATCCATGTTCCATTTTCCCCCTGCCTCCCCAGCTATAAATTTGTGTGTTCACACACACAAATACAGACACATATATTCTTTTCTTAAAGATATTTTTATTAGCTGTTGATGGACCTTTATTTTATTTATTTATATGTGGTGCTGAGAATAGAACCCAGTACCTTACACATGCTCTACCACTGAGCCACAACCCCAGCCCGATGTATACACATATATTCTTTAAAATTTATCCGAAGGGTGAAATACTGTCTCATGGTAATTAACATTTTTYTGATTACTTGTAAATTTGAACAACTTTTCAGATATTTATTGAATATTTCCTCTTCTGTATCATGCTTACTCATATATTTTCCCTATTTTCAACTGTGTTTTTCACTTACTGGTGTATATAGAGAGAACTAGAAAGGTCTTTATATATTCTGGTTTCTATATCTTTCTGTGGTATATAATCTTTTTTCTGGTCTGTAGCTCATTTTCTCCATTTGTTTATGGTATTTTTTTATGTGTGGAATTTTAGCCACTGTGTTTAGTTTTATCATGGTAATATTTGGCAATCTTTCCTTTTATAAGAGAGCTTCTAGGTTCTGTTTAAGCAATCCTTCCTTCTGTGAAGTCAAAGATATTCCTTGGTATATACTTCTATTATTCAACTCAGATTGAACTTCACATGAAGTAAGATCAAGACCTACTTTTAGTTTACATTTTTCAAATGAATAACCAATAATTTTAGTGACATTTACTGGATGGTCTTTGCCTTGCCCATTGCTTTGTACTGGCACATCTGAGTTTTCTATTCTATTCCACAGGTCTGTATCTCTATCTACACATGTGCCCTTACTATCCTAAGTTAAATCACTAGCAGGAACTCAATGCCCCCTGCCCAACTTCCAATTCTTCTAATCAGGAATATTTTAGCTCTTCACAGACCTTTGTTTACAAGTATAAATTTCAAAATCAGTCCCAAAAAGTAGTGAGAGAGGAGGTATCAAATAGGACTGCAGTGAACATGAAGACTTATTTGAATATTTTTAGAAAACAAAGCTCCTAATTCAAGGGTTTTAATGTTCTATAGAACTTTAATAGGAATATTCTTAGTTATATAACACTTATTGCTGTAGCTAAAAATGTTAAGTAGGATTTTTATTCCTATCACATTTCAAGATGACTTTTTACTGGAGAAATGGGTAATTTTTATGTTGGTTTTATATTTAGCATCTTTGCAGAACCCTCATCAGTTTTAAGTTTAGATTCTCTTGGACTTTGTAATAATCAAAAGTACAATTTTATCTCGTCCTTTTAAATTCTATTATTTCCTCACTTAATTGTTGAATAGAAGCAGTGGTCAAAAAATTCTTGCTTCTAATTCCTAGCTCTATGGGGAAAGCTTCTGTAATCTCACCATAAAGCATGAGTCTTATTGTAGATTTGAGAGATTATTTTTTGTTAGAATTTAAGTGTGCCATTTTATTATCTGTTAACCATTTACCTGTTTACCATTCTTGTTTCTTTTTCTTCCTATGAGCTACTTGAGCAATTTTTACTGCTATATTTTAATAAATCTAGCTTCTTAAATCTTTCTTGTTATAGTACTTGCTCTAGGTATTATAATACACACTTTATCACAGTCTAATAGTATCAACGTTTTACTGTTTCAAGTAGAATACAGAAATCTTACCAATAATGACATTTCTTTGCTCTTCCCCCTTTATGATATAGTTGTCTTACATATCATCTCTACATGAGTTTTACACTTTAGAAATGTTATATTTTTTGTTTCAAATTTCAAACATAATTTTAAAAACTCAGGATAACAATCTCCTCAGATATTCACCCTTTCTTTTATTCCGGACTTTCCAAGTTTTCTTCAGTTATCATTGCCCTCCCATTTCAGGACCTTCCTATATCAATACTTCCTCCTTGTCTTGTAGTTCTGTGCTTACCTTCATTCTGCTGCTCTATTCTGGGTGACCAGCACAAAAGAAAGCATATTCTTCTGCATCATGAGTTAATGCAGGATGGAGGATGGAGCCCTATCAGCCATCCCTAACCAGCACTAATGAAACAGCACCCTTCTAACCCGATGTGGGTGCTATGGAGACTGTGAGGAAAGAGCCCTGCTGACTAACCAACCCCACACTGAATGCAAGCAGCATGTGAATTATCCTCACCATGCACTAAATGAACAACAGCACAGGCAGCACCTCACCCATCCCAGAGTGGGTACAGGATTACAAAAAGGAGATTTATTATATATCCTAATCAGTATTCATGGTAGATTTTTTAGTTAAAAACGCATGCCTTCTTTCAACTTTAGAAATGCCCAGGAATATTCAAATATCGTTTCTCCACCATTTCCTCTACTCTCTTCTTTTAGAATTCCTAGTACACAAATACAGGAAAATTTCAACCCATAGCTCAATTCTTTTAACTATCTTTTCATATTTGTTATTTTCCTGTCCCTCTGTCTAGAGCTTATGCTATCTACTACATTTTTATTTCAATGACCATCTTTTTCATCTTGAAGATTGCTAATTTATTTATTACCATATTCATATTTCTTTATCATAATTTCTCCATCTTTAAAAATGAAAGCCTTTAACTCTGGTCATCATGTATACTTAAGTCTTTAAGTTATTAAGAAAATTACTTTCATCTGGAGTAAAATGTTCTCATTCTTAATTTCTTGTGACGGTAGCATTATATTTCTTCACACATTTTATTTGCAATTTTAAACCACAGACTTAATTTTTAGTGGGAGATAATTTTGGTTTTCTCTCCCCTCTCTTCATTCACCCTTTTATTTCTCTTTACAAATTCTTCCTCCTTGTCTAGTAGTTTTTGTGGTTCCCTATTCCTGATACTGAACTACATTATGTATGTACACACACGCACACACACATTTTACTTAGTAGTTATATGAACACCGTTCTTTCCAAGTTCGTAACAAACTTCTTTAAAGACAATAGCACTGAACACCGAGGATGAATTCCAGAAAATAGTAGTTAAATTAAATTTCTAGTATTTGCATTGGGCATTTTAAGCATTGCTGACAGAAATTACCTCAGGCTTTATTAAGTATAAATTTCTTAAGATACAGAATTTAATCTGCAGTTGTCTTTATTATACAGCCCAAACTGCACTAAGTAAAGTTTCTATAATATTTTCCCTGTTTCCTCATATCTCCTCTCTGTAAATGATTTAATTATGAGTTCATGAAATTGCCAAGACATTCTAATACTCTATCCTAAGTGCAAATGATGGCAGAAGATGAAATAATATCATAAAACTGAGGACTACACATTGATCACAAGACACCCAGCACTTGTTGCTACAGAACCATCCTTTGAGATTCTGATGTAACTCAGCTCCTTCCTCTCTCAAAAACTGAGAATCTACTCAAAGCCCTATAAGATCATACTACATGCTGCCTCTCTCAATTATAACACTGACTCAATTATAACACGCATTTACATTAAGAGKATAATCTTAAATATTTAGTCACTTTGGTTTCTCTTAAAAATTAATAAGACTACTTTCTTTTTTTAATATTTATTTTTTAGTTGTAGTTGGACACAATACCTTTATTTTATTTATTTTTTTATGTGGTGCTGAGGATTGAACCTAGGGCCTCGCACATGCAGCGAGCACTCTACCGCTGAGCCACAATCCCAGCCCAAGACTACTTTCTTGTAGAAAACTCAGGCCAACTAGATACAAGATGGCACTACTGGTACTGAAGAAAATTCTTCAGAAATAATGAAAGACCATTTCAAGCTAAACAAAAAGAATTTCTGAATACGAACAGTCAGTATTGAAGCATTAGTAATAATATTGCAGTAATAGAATTTTGAAGATGACTGAACATCTTAGAAAAATTAAATGAGATACAAGATTCTCAAAGAAATTTCAAAAACTTAAGTCTTCCTACTTTTTAGAAAGTTAAATAATAATTTAAAAACAAGTCTGCTGAAACTGTCTTAAGATATCATTTCATCTACTACTTGAAACAGAAGTTCACTATTGAAGTTATTACCTTTGGTAATTCCCATTCTGACCGAGATCCATCCGCACTGTAGTAATACTGTCTACCTTGATCGTCAACATGCTTGAGCCACTATAAAAACATAATAGGTTTTAAAATATTTACATAAAAGTGAGTTTAAGCTGCTACTACTAAAGATACTAGACGTTATTTTTTTAATGAATTTTATTTTACTTACTCAAGAAAACTGCAAAAAAATTAACAAAGTTATACCAATAGACTTGCATTTTAAGTTTGGTAAGAATGAATATAATACTCAATATTAATGTGAATTTTCTCTTTCCTCAAACTTTAGGCTAGTGATTCAAGCACTTCTTAACAACATAACAAGAAACATATGACATAAAAACATATGATGTACATATATACAGGAACACAGATATACTCCCATCCTAAAAACAGGTTTGAGACATTAACAAAATAAATTGTTTTTCAATGTTTAAGTATGAAAGCTAACAATGTAAATCTCACTTCACACAAACTCTTAGGCCCTGCTTCCCTTAGCCAATGCATTTTACTCAATACACTTTAGATATCAGGAACAGGAGAACTTCATGCAGTGTAATACAGGGAATATGAGGGAGGAAAGACACTAATGGTTACTGATACAATCAAATACAATCATATGATCTAGATTGTGATATAAATGAAAACTGCCACTTCCAACTGTTCTGGTGTCAAATAATTGAGGTGAGGAAGAAAGATAAAGCCCTACTCTGTTTATTTCCAAGAGTCTACTCTCTCTATAAACTAGCACCACCAACCAGTTACTTTCTTAAATGGTACCAGATGTAATATACACACAAAGCTCCAATATTCACTGCCAAATCAATTAATCATAAAATACTAGATTCATGGGTTTTATACAAATCTGGTTGTAATGAGAAAAAATATATAAGCAGTGACACTGTATAAAAATGGTAGGTTGAGAAAGCAATTTCCAAAAAATTACTCCTAAAGAAATATGCTTATTGAGAAAATCTAAACAAATAACAATTGGTCTATTCTTTAAAAGCTGGTCTGTATTGAATTATCAACACCACAAAAATCCTATCATCGTAGTAGTTTAAAACCATGAATCAGTATACTGTTTTCATGTTGTCAAGTGCATGATTATAGAATTACAATGGCAAACATTTTCCTGAATTTTTAAAAAACTATTAAAATTTCAGTATACAACTCTTTATGACATACTTCTGCCAAGAAATACCAGATGAGAAAAAAAGAAAGTACCTTTTCATTAGTATAGTCACTGGTATATAAGGTATGCCCACGTTCATCCAACTCTTCTGACCAACCCCTTGGAGGAGAACCACACTGACTATCTGACTGGCTGTAACAAATGCTGTGGTAGTTTTCTTCTGATGAAAGAAGCTATAAATAGTCAGAAAAATAAGGAGTTTTCTTTTTTGAATATAAATATTCAGCAACTGAAAACTGAGAAGATTGAATTTATTTGGCTATAAGTAATACTTGGCAAATATCTTAAATGTATTTGAATATTTAATTTTCAAAACAAATTATAAAGTCTTTAAATAATACATTGTAAATGGTGAGGTAAAATTGAAAATTCTTAGTTATTTTATCACATTAACGCAATCCTCGCAGAATTTACCAATAAAACTGAAAACATTGTTTTCAGACTGACGAGTGATAAAATGCTACTTTCTATTTAATGCTGCTTTCAAATTGAAATCTCATATTAAAAACTGACAGGGGTGTGAATGGGTATAAATGTCTACATGAAAATGAAGATAGAGATGAGGGGATTTCATTAGATTGTGTTTCTTAAAAATTCTTGCTCATCTCTATATCATGAGTACTGAAACAAATGCCTGGCAAATAAATATACCTTTAACTATTTTTTTTTAAAGTATATGGGAGAAGGAGATGGAAAAAGGCATTTTGTGAAAAAGCCTTTGTGACACTGTATTTTATGTTCTCATTTAATGGCAAATTATCCTAATTCACTCAACCAAATGCTTATAAAAGAATACTGTAAACTAAACTTCAAAATAAGAAGTAATAATATTCAGAAAATTCAGATACAACGCAGAAAGATTAGAAATTCGATATGAAGTAATATAAGCATGCATGGACATGGCAGAGAAGTTAGAGGACTGAGAAAACAACAATTTTTGAAGTTTATTAACAAACAAGAGGTACCACTTTATTAAACTTAATTCCTTCAACAATTATTTATTAGTGTGATGACTCTTCCTATTAACCTTAGCTAAAATATTTTCTGCAATTAAACCTTACTCAGGCTATCTTCTACCACTATAACGTGGCCTAAAAAACCATGCTGGACAGTTTCTCAATGTTGTAAAGATATACCAGCCCTTATGTCAGTATGTTCACAAAAACTGACATAGAGAATTGTGCACAAATACTACATAAAGTAAGCTGTGTTTTGCAATGATAACACTTTTAAAAAATGGAAAACAGGGCAGGGGTTGTAGTTCAATGCTCGAGTATTTGCCAAGCATGTGTGAGGCACTGGGTTCGATTCTTAGCACCACATACAACTAAGTAAAATAAAGGTCCATTGACAACTAAAAAATGCATTAAAAAAAAAAGATTCTTCATTCCCTACCCCCTCCAGTAATTTTTTTTTTGGGGGGGAGGGACTTTTAGATGGGGCTGAGGCTATAGCTCAGTGATAAAGTGCTTGCCTGGCATGCAGGAGGCCCTGGGTTCAAATCCCAGAAACACACACACACACACACACACACACAAAGTTTTAGAAACTGAAAAAAGAAAAGTGTCATTTAATTAGTAAAATTAAGAGATAATTAAAATCACAAAATCAGTTTTTTAATGAACATAACTTTTTAGTTGACAAAATGCACATCATAATTTTCCAATTTTTATAAAGTAAAATATTATCTTCAGCCATAAAAAGTAACCTCTAATATTTTGGTATGTTTTATTACACTGTAGAATCAGGAGAAGCTTTAAGATCTTGATATCTACAGCTAGAAAACAGCTGTTTGATGACAGTTTATCATTTAGGTGGGTGACTGGCACAATAACTTTGGGGTATATTCTGCAGCAAATGTGCCCTTAAGAAAGATGAGGGGGCTATCATATGCATTTCATATAAAAAAAAATGGCAGGGATGTATCTCATCTGGTAACCTGGATGAAAACAGCTGATTTTCTTAAATTTTTTAAAAAATTATTAATGAGCTGGATAGGCACGGTGATGCATGCCTGTGATCCCCAAATTAGGAAGGCTGAGGCTGAAGGATTACAAGCTTGCGGTCAGCCCCAGCAACCTACTGAGGTCCTAAGCAACCTAGTAAGACCCTGTCTCCAAAAAAATAAAAAGGGCTGGGGATATAGCACAGTGGTAAAGCATCCCTGAGCAATCCCCAATATCTATCAATCAACCAATCCATTCAATCCAATTATCAAAGAGCACGAGGTTAAGAGTTAGCCATGGGGGTACACACCAGTGATTTGGAATGCTGAGGTAGAAGGATCTCAAGTTCAAGACCAGCCTCAGCAACTTAATGAGACCCTGTCTCAAAAAATAAAGAGTTTGGCATGTGGTTCAGTGGTTAAACATCCCCCAGGTTCAATCCCTGAGAGGGAGGGAGGAAAAATGACAGACTCAGAGGTCAAAAAAGCAAGAATCCAGAGTGTTAAATAGAATAAAAAGCCTGGCTGTCTCCTTGAAGGCATTTTCTAGGCCCCACATAAGAACATTAGTTATTGGTTTTTAAGGCGATGAAGAAGTGTTGGGGAACCAAAGTCAGGACTACCAAAGTTGGGAAACTAAAAGGATACCTCATAATTCAGAGCTGGGACCACTCCCTCTGCAAAGAATTCTACCCACAGTTTATGAGTGAGCTGGAAACAAATCCTTTCCCTTTATTCTACACTAGAGAAATCACAGAATCTTCCCCAATAACTGGGAGAGAAGGCAGAGTKCTTAAACACAAGGCAGTCTTATTACAATCCAAAATTACTACCACCCAGATGGTGTGTGAAAACTATAGTTCAAGATTTAGTTTTAAATATTCATGGGATACTAGGTTCTCTGGGCATCTGGCAGAAGCAAAAGCAAATCCTCTCTGAAGAAACTAACTTTCAATTCATTAAAGACTTCCTACTTATGAATTTCCAAGAACTATAATCTCAACTAAAAGACACACACATATTAAAAAACTCTCACAATGAAAGAGTAGGCAAAAAAAAAAAAACCAGATGTAATAATTAGGCTTTCAAAAATTTTATGTACTAGGATTAACAAAATATATATATATAAGACTAAAGAGAGAGATGACAAATAAATGCAATATATGATCCATCACTGCAAAGAAACAACTTTATAGGCTAATACTTGACAAATGAAAAACACTTGACTATAATCTTTGCATTATAATATGCCAATATTAAATTCTGAGGTTTGATAAACGTAGTTTTTGCTGGAAAATATGCTTGCCCTCAGGGAATAAAAAACATTGTCAGCTTCAAATTGTTCAGAAGAAAATTATGCACGTTTGTGTGCATGCTGGGGAAATGGAGGAAAGGAGAGAGAAAGCAAATGTGACAAAATGTTAACAACTGGTAAATCTAGATGAACGTATGGTATATTGATGCTCACTCTATTATTCTTGCAACTTTTTGTAGGTTTAAGCTTTTTAATGTAAAAAAGATGGGGAAACTCTTCCAAAGAAATAAGATAATAGTTAAAAATTTTTTAAGTATTAGTTTAACATCAAAAAAGGAACAGATAAAAAGAAAATAAGTGAACAGGAGTGAGATCTGGGAACACTGAGAATGAAGCTCAGGCAAACAGAACAAGCACAATTAAACATTCATCTAACAAAAGTTCTAGAAGAAGAAGAAGGAGGAAAAAATGTGGCTGAGGTGATATTCCTCAGCACTTGCAAGAACTGGTGAAATATGGGACTCATTCAATTCAAGAGTTCCAAACAAAGTCCTATCATGAAATAAAAAAGATACCTTCACCTAAGTCATATCATAGTGAAACTGCAGAAACAAGATCATATATATAAACTATATCTATCTATCTATCTATATATATATATATATGTTTAGTTGTTAATAGACTTTTTTTTGTTGTTTATTTATATGCAGTGCTGAGAATCAAACCCAGTGTCTCACACATTGCCAGGTAAGTGTGCTACTGCTGAGCCTGAGCCTGAGCCTGAGCCTGAGCCTGAGCCCGAGCCCGAGCCCGAGCCCCAGCCCCAGCCCCAGCCCCCAGAAACAAGATCTTAAAAGCTACCAGTAAAAGAGAAAAACTACTCTGAAAGAATAAAATGACAGTTCCATTTTCAGCTCAATAATGGAAGCCAGAAAACATGAGAATAAAATCTTCAATGAACTAGGAAAAAACAAGACTTCAATGTGGAATTATATATCCATAGAAAATAGTCTTCAAAAATAAAAGCAAAACAAATTTCCAGAAAAAAGACAAAGATGCTCATGGGAGATTTTATGAGCATGTACAACAGACAGGAAAAAGTAAGTAAAGAAAATAAAGTAATAAAATTGAGGATTAACATCAAGAATCATCATGTATGACAATAAGAGGGCTAAGAATAGAAACAAAATATATAACAGCAGCAATATAGTTTTTGCAAGGCTTTAAAGAGTCAAGAGGAAATTGAAAAATGTTTAGGCTTTGATACAGACACTTATTAAAATATCTAGGGCAGAATTTCTCTGCACATTGCTGACACTCAGGACCACATAACCCTGTGTTATGGAAAGCTGTTATTTACTGTTGGATATTTAGTTAAATCTCTGGCCTCTCTCTACACACTACACAAAATCCCCTCACCAAGAGAATCAAACAGTCCCCGACCAATGCCAAATGTCCCTGGCAGGTAAAAATCACCGCAGGTAAGAACCATTGTTTTAGGATAACCACTACAATAAAAAGCTTCTGAGTTAAGATAAAAGTGAACGCTTGCTCCCTCCCAAACATCCCTAAAACACAAAGCCACACGGACAGGTAGGACACAAAAAGAGCCAAGAGTCAGCAAATGACCAAAAAGCTTAACTCTTCATGCAGGAGAAAGCAAAATCTAAACTGGCAGGCAGAGGAAATGGGAGCAAAGGCAACTCAATAAGTTTACAGAGCAGAATCTACAAACAGCTTAGGAACTGACAGTATTAGGCATCTAGGGAACAGATGGGTGAAGGCAGTGGCACTACAAAAAGTAGGTTCAAACTGCCAGAATCCCCTTCATCATGCCCAGCAACTAGGTGTGTACTCTTCCCTACCCCAGCAGAGGGTATGGAAGTTTATCCCATCTATGAAGGAGGGGAGGGGGCAACGTTCTCAGTTGAGAGACAATAGACACAAGTGGGACATGTGTGCCACAGAGACAGAAGACCAAGAGACCACCTGAAAACTGAATGCAGACCCCAAGACTTTGGCAGTGCTTATCTTCTAGGCAGAAGAGCTAAAGACTTCTATGGAGAATGATTAATCCAAATGGAAAGACCCAAAGATTTTAACCTGGGAGGAAACTTCCAGGAAATCAACTTACTCAGAGTACCAATCAAGTGAAGTTTAAAATGCTTTATAATGGTAAAAGAGTTTCAAATATTTCTAGTCTACAATTTGAATAAAATTTTTCCTAATTTTCTTATTACAATTAAGCATGAACAATTTCTCTCATGACTTTTGCTTTCATTCTTGAACACTGAAAGTTCRCAGCAAATCAAGGCTATAAATAACCAACTAAAAAATAGGACAAGAAGGGAGTTAATAACTACAAAGAGCTTTAGATTCTGCTAAATGCAGGACGTGTTACCTCACTGCTACAGCCCCTGCCTTCCTGGAGCTACGTGTTTTTGTTCACTGTTTCCTGGAACTGCAAGTGTCCCTTGCAAGGGCAGGGCTCTGATCCATGAAAGAACAAGATTTCACTCCATTCTATCAATCTTACCAACCTTTCTCCTGCACATCTAAACAGTCCCAAGGCACCTTATCAGACCACTAAAACGAGGATTCCTCAAAATATATAACTAGCCATTCTCTACACCACCCTACAAGATATGTGGGGGAATGAGAAACAAGAGGGTGAAAACTCTATTTATTAGAGAAAATAAAGGTTTTAAAGTAAATTATACTTACAGAATGGTCTAATTGTAGCAAAGGAATTATCATTACTTCCCCACATAGAAATAAAAGATTTATTTATGACAAGAGAGTGAGCTTGATACCATACTAAACCAATAAAGGAAAGTATCAGTTTTGAATAGTTGAATAATTTGTTTCTATTTATCTGGCTAGGTACATCATTTATTTTCTTCTTTTTCTGAAAAATGTGACTGGTTTGTGCAGTAAGTTAGTATCTTCTAATGTAAAAGAAAGCATTGGCAGCAGACAACTTTGATTCAGTTCTAGAATCAGAAAGTACACTATAGTGTTATTTACTAGTTAGCGATTAGGACATTACTAGCATTAACACAATGAAGCTTGGAAAGAATTTTTAGTGTTGTTAGAGATTTAAGTTTTCTACCCTACTGATACCAAGAAACTAAACTATTCAATTATTTTGTTTCTGRATAATGAAAAGAGAAAATGTGGTGACTCACTGGTTGACTCCTTAATTACTCATACCTCTTGATCTCCTGGACTTTGGAAATCTTTGCTTATGTTTGCATCCCGAGTCCAGCGGGGTGGCTTCCAAGTTCTTTCCTGTGTTCCTCGGTTATAGTAGTAACAACGCCCTGAACTATCTTTATGAGTTTCCCATTCTCCATTAATCTGAATTGCTGGGCTCCCAGGAAGTGGGGGAACAGCAGACTGGGATATTTTCAGTTCTTGTAGATTAGCATACACAGGAGAGTCTGGCCTTCCTTGATTTGGAGGTGTAGTTGCCTGTAAAATAAAAATTTTAAATCTCATGTTTAAAATGGTATAACATTTACAAGGAGATTTATAAACAGATATATTAATTCACTTTAAAACACAGAAAGGATAAAAGTGGTAAATTAAAAAGGAAAAAGAAACAGACAAAAAAAGAAAAAACAGTTATGTGGGTATGTATATGTGTATATATCTATGTGTATAAACACATAAATTAAAAAATCTCCTAAGAAATAATGACTTCAGTTTTAATAATTATAGACTGACTGAAAATGAATAAATAAAAACTATAAGCAGAATCCAAAGTGTATTTAATATTTTCCTTTAGCCTGAAAGAACACTCGAGTAAGAACTTTGGATTCTAGTTCAATATCTGTCACTAAAAAATTATGATGTTGGGTAGATCACTTTGCCTCTCTGATAGTGATTTTTTAAATCTCTATATGTGAAAGAATTGAACTAAAACAGCAAAGTCTTCTTTGGCTCTAAAATAATTTTAGAACCAAACATTTTTGGCAAATTTTTAAAACATAAAAAAAYYWAAAAAAAAAAAAAAAATAAAATGTCTTACACATGGGTAGCTCAGCTTTTATTTAGAAAACTCCTAAAAGAAAGATTGTATATTCTAAGTTCTAATGTTAAATTAGTAATAAAAGCAAAACATAAAAGAATAAAACCTAAGAATTTCTCAATTATAATTTCTCAGTGGCCATAAACAAATCATTTAATTTCTACTTAGTTTCCTTGTGAGTTTTATAACTGTAGAAGAAGAATTAGCAGCAATACTGATTAAGACATTTACTCTTAATGGGTTTTAATTTTTGTTTTTAAATATTTCACTAGATGTCAGTAAAGAGCAAAACACTTCTCCATACACTTTGCTTAAAGATACTGTACACAAACATCCAGTTGCTGAAAGGAAAAAAAGCTCAGATCTGAAAACCATTTATATTACACACTGGTATTTACGTATGTATCTCCCATTTACAACCTCACCACCATGGACATCTGGAGACAGATCTTTCTGTGCTGTGAGGACTATGCTGTACACTGTGATATGTTCACAGCACACCTGGCCTCTGCCCACTAGATGAGAGCGGCACATATACACTAACCTCCATGTGAAAACCAAAGTCTTTACTCACGGCCAGATGTTCTCTAGGGACAAAACTGGGGCTTGGTGAGAACTACTGCTTTACCATATAAATCCTAAAATTATATTCAAATGTTCCATTACCTTGGTCATGTATCTATAGTTTTTGAATGCTTAAAAATGCTGAATTTAAGGGTGGGATAGTTTTGTGGTAGAGTGCTTGCCCACCAGGCACAAGGCATTGGGTGAACCCCCAGTAGTGCCCCCAGCCTCCACCCCCCAAAAAAAAACACCCTGAAATTTAAAATGGAAATATGAAATTTAAATTTCACTGAAATTTAAAGTATTTCAACTTCTAAAATAGTCTTTGTGTATAAAACAGTTTTAATGAGTCTAAGTCATAGAACAAACTTTAGAAAGAAAAATAACTCAAAATACAAACACATGTAAAATGGATACTTTTGGTTTTTTTGCACATGATAGTTACGCAAGTACTACATTTGATGATGCAAATTAGACTATTTTCCTAAAAATGGTAGTTTTGAATTTACCACCAACTAGTATCTTTCTACAAAGAAAATATATTCATGAAGACACATATCCATTTATTTCTCTTACAGATTAACTTCATATTCTGGTGAAGTAGTCATAACAATGCTTTCTGACAAAAATATATTCTGCTAAAATAATAAATAACCCTATGTATAGTAATTCACCTCTCAGAACTTTTTTTTAGAGATTTTAATTCAGTAAGTGTTAAAGGAGTTCTTACTTTGCTCCTGATTCTTGATTAAAACTTGGAGGAACAACAGGCATTTTAAAAATTATGTTTATGGACAAATTCTACTAAATCTTTAGGAACAACTAATTCCTATGTGTTTTTTTTCCCTGTGTTTTAACCAGCTCAAACTGTTTTTCCAACTAAAATATTTCAGCATAGTCTATAAGACCAGCATAATTTTGAAACAAAAGAGCAGAAGAATTTAAGAACCCTATAAATGCATCTCCCTTGCAAATAAAGATGGAAATATCCTAAATAAAATACTAATAATAAACCCAACATTATATTAAATAAATTGGGGAAAAAAACGGAGATGTTAAGAAGATTGTTTTTAGGAAAGGAATCTCATACAGTAATTCTTTAGAATTACAGATTAACATGATAATCTCCACAGATGCCAAGAAAGCATGATTTAGGATAAAATTCTTAGCAAGTTAAAAATAGTGATGCTTCTTTAATTTTCCATTAAAAAAATATTAGTATTTAAAATAAGCATCATAGTTAAAAGAGAGAGGAAGCACTTTTAAGTACCGTGGAGTACACCTGTAGTCCCAGAAATTCAGGAGACTGAGTCAGAAGGCTCCCAAGTTCAAAGTCAGCCTAGAAAATGTGTGGGACACTGTCTCAAAATAAAATAAAGTAAAATAAAATAAAACAGGCTGGCGGTGTAGCCCATGGGTTAAATCTCCAGTACCAAAAATGATCATCATCATAATCAATATCTAAATTACCGAGTCCACGAAAACTACTAGAAAAGTTTAATAAATGGGCCTGATGCATACAATCCAATCAGCTTCTCATACATAACGAAAAATAAGAATACGTAACTGGGGGGAAAAAAAACCTCATTTGCAATAGGAAAAAAAACCCAAAAAACAAACATGCTTTAAAAGAAATGTATAAAATAGAACAAGAATACTTATAAAAATTTCATCTGAGGTCTGGGGTTGTAGCTCAGAGGTACTGTGAGTGCTTAACATACACAAGGTTGAAGTGCCACCAAAACATTCCTCTGGAAACTAAAAATTAGACTTCAAGAGATAAGTTTTTCTCATTTAGAAACAGTTTAAATTTATAAACATTCTAATTCTCCAAAATTTAAACTACAGATTCTATAAATTCAATGCAAAATTCAGCTTTTGGTAGTGTTTGTATGTATTAACACAACAGTAGCAGTTTATAAAATTTGTTAATGAAAAAAGAAACAAATGTGACCAAAAGTATGCAAACACAAATGCTTCAATAAAAGCACTTGGAAGTGGTTAGCTATGATAAAAAGAAAAGAAACTAAGAAAATATCCACATTTCTAGTTTGGGAAAACCAGTAAAGGAAAGTGAAACAAACATCATTTGAATGCATAATAAACACAATGCTAGAGCTTCAATAATAAATAGGAGAAAAATGGAAGAGACCTGAAAACAAATGACTAAGCATTTGTAACAGCAAAGCTGGGGAGATAGGAGGCAGCATAAAAATTAAGGAAACAGCATGATACAGTCAGGGAGTAATGCATGTGAAAGGAGCAGCAAGAGACAGTTCTAAGTGACAAGAAAGAGTGTATATGCCATATTAAAAAGCATAGATGTTATTCTGCAGCATTTAGGGAACTACTAAGACTTTAAGCCAGAAAGTACATTATGATCGGAATTTCAGAAATTCTCTAGGTTTTAGAGGGAGACCCAACTAGAAGTAGAGATTAGTTGAGGGTTGGTACAATAAATAATACACACAGAAAATGGAAGACAGCTGCAATAGGACAAGATAATAGGAATGAAGAAGCAGGCCAGAGTAAAAAAATAATCAGAAGTTAAATTAACATGCAGGCTGGATGTTTATTTAAGTAAGTTTGTTAGGGTGGTACTTTTAACAACAGATTGATGTCAAGATAAAGAATAAACTGGCCATGTGTGTATAATGTGTCAAAATACATTCTACTGTCATATATAACTAAAAAGAATAAAGTGAATATGGTAGCACATACTTGGGAGGCTGAGGCAGGAGGATTAGAGCTAGAGGTCAGCCTCTGCAATTTAGTGAGATAAAGGACTAGAGATGTACCTCAGTGGCAAAGTGTCCCTGGGTTCAAAGTTCAAACCCCAATCCCAAAATAAATAAATAAAGATAGCTAAGTAAATATTCTCTCACTCTTTTCCCTGCATATACATGTGGAGTTTATAAAGAGAGGGATGAAGAGGGTTTTATTTAGATTCTATTAGGTTGATAAACCTTTTCAAAATCCAAGCAGAAATGCTCATAGATTGTTAGACATATAGATTTAGAACTCAGTATAGAAATAAAAAGTTAAATTACACGCAGGCTGAATAACATGAATGTAAAAGTCATGGGCTTATAGATAGAGGTCAATAACTTAAAGAATGAGAGCATACAGAATAAAAGGAAGATAAGATAACCTGGAAAATACTAAGCAATTGTTTTGTGAATTAAATAAGAAGTTTAAAGGTAGCACATGTTCTAGCATGATGATTTATATTGCTATTATAAGTATTAATGCAACCAATATAATTGAGGGTCCAGAAAAAGAAAAAGAATCCAGTGAAGGAGACAGAGAGTCAGAAGTAGAAGGTAGAAGTAGAAGTAGAAGGCAATATTTGAAAGTCAGTGAGAAGAAAAATTTCCAAAAAAGGGAGAACTGGACAATATTAAACTAAAAGACTTCAAAACAATCATTTGATTTAGCAATTAAAAAAGTCATTAAAGAATTCAGCAATCAGCCATGAGGACTGAAAAATGCCTTCCTATAATAAAAAACTAAAAAGTAAATAAAGAGTGGGAAACAAGTATTTTGAGGCACTGTATAATAAGCAGCACAGGACTGTGGTTCCTCAGAAGGGAAACAGGTGAATCCTACCTCTCCCAGGCTTTGTACCTGGAGGCAGTTTCCAGAAATTGGATCAGGAAGAGAAAATTCAGAGCCTAGCAACCTTCGCCAATGGACGGGACAGAGTACTTTATTATTTTAAAAGATATACTGGGAATAATATAACATGAAAAAAATTATGTAATCAGTGACTCCTCAAAATTGGAGGGTAATTCTTTAAAACTGATCCAGAGAGGTGATGTCTGTCTGAACTCTACACATTCATCAACAAGTCTGACAGCAATACATACAGAAGAGG